AAGTCAGAAAAATGCTGATGTTTGTGTTAGGACCTGGCTCCAAGAATTTAACACTGCATGAGACTAACGCTTTCCCTGAGAGACCCAAGTTCGGTGGTCTTACCTTGGTGGCTTCTGAGTTTCCTCCAAAATGGACTCATTTGCTTTCTTGCATGGGGAAGGAAAGGCTTCTTTTTACATTCTATTAAAACCTGCTCATATTGTTCACATTTCAGCAATACCTCATCATCTTGCCTGTGATGTGATGGTGAAAGGCAGCATAAAATGATAGGGGAAGAGACGTTTGTTTGAATGACTTGCCAGCTATTCATCAAAAATAACAGAGGAGAGACATTCAGTATTACTGGTGCTCCTTTTAAGGAAGGAGCTGAGGCTTGGTGACATATCAGCTGGATTTTTCAAAGTGATTCAGCATTGATGTAATTGCTCTATTTAAGATCCAGGTAGGTCAGCAACAATTTCTTTTTTTTGAAAACACCTGTTTGTGACCTGTCACACAAGCTCTGCTAAATGTAGTGGCATGATACTCAAAACAATTAACTGTAAATCTTTGTAGACTCTATTAGGGCTCACACATCTCTCAGGCTGATTGTGGATGAAGTTACCCCCTTAATTAGCTGGTAACATGAGGTGACTTCCTGATATTCTGAGAATTGTTTCAGATTGGAATTGGCTCTAGATTTCCCTGTAAAGGTCTTGGACTATGTGTCTTGTCATATTTATGACAAACTAATTACTGGGTAATTAGCTGACACAGGCTGGTGCTGGTGTTCCTCTCACCTGTGGTCCGATGGGGGTAGGGCAGCAAAAAAGCTACTTGAACAGTGCTTGAAATGTTGAATGAACCTGTAAAGGTCAGGCAACCTCTGAGGGTTCCTGCAAAGGCAGAGAGAGGTGCTGCTGGATGCTCAGAGCTACAGAGCACAAGGAGAGGCAAAGATAAAGGTTGTGAACTACTACTTTTTGAGACAAGTATTGGATTTGAAATTCAGTTGCAACAAGTCTGAAGGGAAGGTGGCATGTATTGGTAACAGATGAGCCAACACTTTAGTGATGATTTTTGGATGGTAAAGCAGCCCAATTGCTTCATCTGAGTGAGTAGGAAGAACGAGATTTTATCTCTCTAAAACATATTGAAGGCATGTGGAATTGTTTTAATCAAGTTTCTCAATAGTCTTTTGAAGGTAGAAGTCCTCCTTCATATATGTCATAATCAGAATAGCCTCTTAAGCAAAAATATAATACCCTCACCCCATTGGCTAGTGTGATCTCTCTCTTCAATGACTGATTTTGTACTTTTCATTCTCATGAATTTAAATTCAGATTCAGATTGAAGTTCTCTCCTGCTTACGAATGGATGATAAGGTTTTTTCAGACTTTTTTCCTCTAACTTGTGCCCTCTGTCACCTTCTCCATGAATACTTTTTCAGGAAGTCCTTTTTGCGTTTAATGTAATCTTATTTTTGAGTTTATGTGATACAAAATACTGTTGAGTATTGAAGAACAGATTTTCTGAAGGTAAGTTATGTAGAAACATGAAAATAAAATGCCAACATATTCATGTGAAAGTTATATATATATATAAAAACCCCCATATAAATATATGTGTATTGGTGTGTGGTTTTGTTTGTTTTCAGGTTTTTTTTTTTTTTTTTTTTTTTTTTTTTAATACCAGTGAGTTGCTTTAGATTAGTGGCAGCCAAAAATTATCTGGCCAAAGTTGAATTTTTCAGAGTTGGAAATCTGACACCATAGGGAGGGAAAGTGACACTTTTCATCCACGGTAAATCTTGTCTGTGGAGATTATTGAGCTTAGGTCCTTTGTGTAACTGGACTTTGACTTGAACTGTTTGCTCTTGTTTGATTTGCCTGATTAGGTCTTTGTGGATTTTGTAGCTTGTGGAAACATTAAAAAAAAAAGAAAAAAAGAAAACAAACTGAAAGGCGATACCCACGGAATATCTGACACTATGTTTGTTAATTTGCTTTATGTGTTAATTCTGAGTAATTATTTTCTAATGTGACATCTGGCTATCATTTTTTGAATGCCTCTAGAATGTTTTTTGGATATTTACCCTTCTTGTTACATTCAAAGTTTTTAAATGATGACAACTCCCATTGTCATCCCAAGGGTGGTACAAGAATTCTGTTCTCTTGCAATAATATGAAATCCCCCATTAGTCATACATTTCTGTTGTCCTGCATTGTCAGAAGGTGACAAAGTGGTATATAAGGTAATTGTGGGATATTGAAAGCAGGTGTTATTCTTACCTGCAACCTATTGCAGTTAGATATACAATTACCTGAATGTCATGTCGGGTGAACTGGTACTTGCAGCAGGCTAGTTTAGGTGAATTTTGACTGCCTCAGATCGTTGGGATATTTATATTTGCTCCACTTTGCAAATATTAATTAATTAATTTAATTAATACACAGATACAAAATCATGTGCATGTATGTGTGCACTGCAAAGTGCGTGAAGAGCAGAGGAAAACTGTATCTTCCTTTTTACTTTCCTTGTTATTGCTCAGAGCTTTAAGGAGGCTGCTGAGTGTTCCCTCATCAGTTACACAGTCTCTCTAATCTTTAAAAAGAAAAGAATGTAAGTAGTATGTATATGAACATCACTGTCAATTTAGAATTGTTACTCTGGAAATGTGATTGCTAAATGAGCCAATATATATCTCTTTAGACTTCGGGTAACTTCAGCCATGAATTTACTCAATCCATGCTTGATGGTTGTCTTTGTAATTCTCCTTGAATTATGGAAGAACTAAAGAAAAATGAAAAAAACCTCAACAGGATACATGACCTTTGAAATAGTAATTTTTTTGAAATTACAATCCTGCCTCTCAAAATCCAGTGGGAAAAATTGCAAATTCATGATTATTTTTTTTTAAAGCAGACTGTATAGTAGACATCAGTGAATAAAGCAAGTTTTCTCAGTGATGCCAAAGACTTACTGTTACAGGTGTTATGAGCATTCAGTGCTTAGTTCTATCATGAATTTACTACATGGCTGAAAAACTGTTGAGGTCATAATTCTTGATTGGCACAAAGCCTTCAAAGGTACTATATTCAAAAGCCTTCTTGTGTGATTTGGACAAGTAGTGGTTAAGGGAGACAAGATCAGCTGCAAAAGTTGATGCTGGCCAGGAGTAGGAGAGAGTGAATTATTTAGGAACATGTTTTTGATATGTCAATGATAACATTATTTTGAGAAAAGGAAAACAATCTGAACATCAGGAAACCATTCAGTAGACAAAATACACTGACTCTGGAATAATTTTCTACATTGTAAAGTGGTGTCTCATTTACAGATCTTAAAAACATTGTGGGTAAGAGAATGTAATGTCAGGGAGTCTTGTATAGGCTGTGAAACAGTTGGAATGGTATAAATCTGTATAGGTACCTACATCTGCCTGGGACAACTTGGGGAAGTTGATCTGGATAGCCTACTCTCTTTCTTTTGATAGAGGATGTTTTACAGACATTTTAAATGAAAACAGATTCCTACTTTAAATTTTAATACTGGAATATTTCCAGGAAAACATTTTTCTTTCAAAAACTGGAAAGACTATTTTTACAAGAGTGAAAGTAAGTGGTTTTCAGCTGTGACTGCTTCACCTGAATTTGTTCATAAGTATTTAACACAGATATAAAGTAATCAAGACAAAAGTTAAGGGAGATATTTTGTCTTTGGAGTAGAGATTGATTTTACTCTAATGACATTTCTTGGACAACACCTGCTCTTTTCCTCTGTGCAGAATTATTTTGGTACTGACCTCCATGGCACAGGCATGTTCATTTAGGTGACATTCACTGCAGTTTGAAAAGTTACTTTCTTTACCTGCATGAATTAAATTATTCATCATTATAGATCAGATTGATTTAAAATAATTTCTTGGATCTCATGATGCAAGGGGGATTACTAGCTGCCTCCTGTCATCAAACAGAGGGGCCAGGAAGAGTGTGGCAGAGACAGAATCTGATCTTGCATGCTTCTAACTCTACCAGCCTCCACATGTGTGTTAGTTTAGGGCTACTCTAAATCACTGCCTTACAGGCAGTGAGTCACTGCACACTGGGGTGAAGAGCAGTCAGGGAGGGTTTTGTGCCCTGGTATTTCCCACAGGGTACCTGCTGGGCTCGCTGTGAGAACCAGCACACACAGATCCCTTTGAAGTAAGCTCTGAGGATGGGCGAAGTGCTGTTCTCCCTTGGCCCACAGAGGAGAGCACAACCCTCTCTCCTGCCTCACCCTTCCACCCCCAAGTTTCATCTTGTTTGATTTAAAATAAAACTGTGAGATTTCTGGACATGAATTAACTTTTTTTCCTACATATACAATAATTATCCAGGAGAAGAATATTGAGCATGTGTCGAGGTTGCCAAGTGTAGCACAGAGATGCCCATCGTATCTTTAGGGGAGTATGGGTCTTGTAGTCACTTAGTTTTGCCATCACAATGGAGTAACTTACCCTGCTGAATGGCAGGACTTACCTACCTGAACTGTGCTGCTATGGGAAGACTGCTACAGGTATTTGAGTTTATGGTTTGGAAAGAAGCTGTTGACGTCTCTCTCTACTATCCGGTAGTATGGTGCTGGCAGTGTGGAGATCATCCAAAAGCTGGGATTTAATTAGTCAGAAGCACTTTGCTTGGGGGTTGGAGCTGTTGCATGAATGCAAAACTTTTCATTTGCAGTAGCATTTCAAGAAAGCAAACCCTGGGCAGAAAGGGGCTTCAGCGTCCTCCCCAAACCTCATGGTGGGTAAAAAAGGAATTGCTCTTTATTCTGCTGACTCAGTTGAGGTGCTCTAATTGGCTGCAAAAATCAGGGAGGGGAATACCTAATGACGAGAAATAATGAAGGGGTGGGGCGGGAGAGCCTCATCATAAAATCCCTATTCCTCCACCCCTAACCTGCATGAGGAGTTTCTGCCAGCCATACGACTCAGTAACTTTTGGTATTGGACTTATATGCAACTGGGGCTGCAATGGGATCAAATTTAAGTTCAAATGAGGTAAGCAAAAGAAGCTGATAGCAAGCCTAAAGCAGGCAAAATTGCCTGATATTCCAGTGAAGTTGATCACAGAGGAGAACAAGTGGTTCAAATTGTATGGGCAAATCTAGTTTGCTTTTCCTCAGATGCTGTTGCGAAGGTGGCTTTCCTAGCCTAGCCTTTTACAGAACTTCATGGCACGCCAGCACTTTCAAGCTACATTTTAGGGCTAACTATGTTACTTATTATGCTTCCTTAAAAAAAAAAACTTCATGTCAAGGAAATAAGAAGTTGGCAGAGTGTTGTGATGGTGGTTGGTAAAGAACCTAACAGATGTCATTAATGAGCATAGCTCTAAATATGGCTTTGAATGTGAGATATTTTGAAATGTCAGCCTAAAGTAAGGATTTAACATGTAGTTTAGTTTTCTTAACTTTGCCTTGTGTTGTTTTTCCTAGACTTTTACGGGCACCTCAGCACCAGCGTTGAGAACGGTAGGTAGCAATTAGCTGGCCCTTCATTAAAAACTGTCCAGTGCTGAATGTAGATTACCAGAAAAAATGTTAGGAATTCAATGGCTCGGGGCAATTTTTACTGAGAGTTTAAAAGCTGAGCTGCAAACTCAACTTTGTAGGTTAAATAATGCCATGCCTTTGTGTAAGGTCTAAATAGTCTGGTCTCTGTTGGTGTCTGATGCTTATGATGTCGGTGTTACACTTTATCTGGCCTGATTTGTACTTCATCTATGTTAATTTTTAATTCCTCCCCCCTTTTTGGGGGGTGTGTGTGTGTGTTAATTTCTCTGGCTGAAACACCACCTTTTCTTATATTTATTCCTTCATAAGAAGACTATTCAAATGAGTCTCTCAGTTGTTCTTAGTGCTCTGGTATTTCTTGTAGTCTTTCTTTGCAGCGTAATGATCTGTCATAGAGCTTGCAATTCTCTGTGTAACGTGGTGTTTAAAAACATAATGTCAGAACAGGTTAAACTGCAGAATAAGTGTGTTGTGTTCAGACTCCTGACAAGCACAGTCTCATCTAGCCTAGTAGGAGTGGGAGCAGTGCCCAGACTTCTCTGAATGCAAAAAAAGAGCAAAAGGTGTCTTGTAAAGGCTAAATTGAGGATGAATTCTTTGCACAGGCATAGGAAAACTCCCTGGGCAATTAGCAGGCATTTATGTTAAGAGGTATTAGCACAAAAGAAAATATATCAGATAAGCTGCTATGATTCAGTGAAGAGGAACAACGGCAGTGGCAATAGGATGGGTCTGTCTTCTGACATCTGCAGTGGGTTTGGGGCTGCCATATCAGTTGTAACTCTCTGGGAATCTTTAGTCAGAAAGATGGACTCTTGCCCCTGCTTCAGTGACACGGGCGTTTCCCAGCCTGGTTTGTTTAGGGCTTTGACTCCATGTGTGGGATTCAGAGTGATACAGAGATTCTCTTCAGTGGTGGTAAATTCAGTCTGCCTTGTGAAGATTTGCTGTTATTGGTAGTTATCTGATGCCCAATTGTGCCTGAGAGCCTTCTCTGTTCAAAATGAAATGCTGTGGTAAAGCAAAAACTTTGCAGAATTTCTTCAAAAACTAGCTTTTAAAATGATGAGTAGGCCTCTGTGTATAGTCTCACATCCGTAAGAAGTATGCTAGAATCATAAAAATTATTACTTTTAGTCCCGTAAAACTAGCCTGTGTTTAGAGGATCAATTAGGGTTTTTTTAACCTTAGTGCTTTTTACATTGTTAGTAGGTATGAAACCTATACAGTTCTGTGGCTTTAGATAGTGTCTCTTATCTTTAGGGTATATTTAGGGTGGCAGAACTGCCCTGAATATAGTGTGTACAATTAAAAGTAAGACCCAGAGGTCCTTCTTGCTGCCCTGAATCTCCAAGGTTCACAGAGGTAAAAATCAGGAATGACCTGAACTTTTTTCTTTTTTTTTCCCTCTCCTTCCCCCCCTCCTCACTATAAAAGTTGGTATTTATGATAAGTATATAAACCTGGTATACCTGAATTGGTTTTTTTTACTCAGTGGCTCTGTTTAAGAAATGGGTTTTCATTTTCAGAGTCAGTTTCAGGGCAACCCATAGGTTTTGTGTGATTTCAATTTGAGTGGCTATATAAATTAAGGTGAATATGTAAAATACCTGGTGAGAAAATTTTGGTAGTACCCTTATGCTGATAGTCAAAAAAGTAACACTTTTTAGATCACCCAAATTGCTATGCCATATTGAGACATAGTAAATTAATAAAAACAACCATGGTCTTGAGAAACAAAACACATCAATGTGAAAACGCTTGACTTGATTTCTCTTCTAAGATTTGGATTTATTCTAACACACAAATCTGGTTCTAAAACTCAAAACAGGAAGAGGAGAAAAAAAACACATGAAAATTGCAGTCTAAAGCCACAGAAGTTTTGCATAGCTCTTGGAAAGAAGCAGGCATTGAGTCACTGCTGTTCCGTTTGTTCTTATTCTGGTCAGTAGCAACTTCTGCTGACCTAATAAGACCCAGCTATGGGATATTTTAAAATGGTTGAAATAAATACACAATATGCAGTACAAGGAAAAGTCTTTCTTATGCATTGACCTAGCATGAGGTGGTAGCCATAGTAATGTAATGAAATCCTGCTTGCCTTTGAGGCTCCAAAACTCTTTGAAGTTAAAAGGTGCCACATACCTGACCAAGGTCAGAAGCAAGGCAGCGACCTGTGTTTTAAAGCCCTGGCACTCTGTCTGACACGGTGAGTGATTTCTGTGTTGGTCTTCAAAGCTTTTAAAGTGCTGATGAGATTTCTATTTCTTTGATGAGAAAGTTAAGGGAAGAGTGCTCTGCTCCAAATAGATGTGTGCTTTAATAACTACCTTTTCTCTTGATGTAACTTGGGATTGTTGTACAAGTTTCACTCTAGTCTCCTCTAGGGAAAAATTCCATGAAAAACTTTTAAACTTGGCATTTTACTGAAATAGAGCAGTTTTAGAGCCACATAAGTTATGTAACTTATTCATATGGATGAGCACTCCTATTGACTTCCCATGGACTAGATATGTAAGGATTGCACAAGTGTGCCACAGGACTTAATTGAATTTTTAACTGACGTAGGATAGTGTGATCAAGACTCCCATTTGCAACCTCATGTATTTAAGTAGTTTCAAAAGTGATTATTAAAATGCCTGGCTTGTGTTTCCGGTTTATGAGGTAGGAATCGTGTCACAGATGAAATAAATATAGAAGCTGAAAGTTGAAGTGTGTGTAATAACTGACCTGGGAGCCTTCTGGCTTTAGAACTTATCCAACTGGTGATAGGGGCACCATCATATTAAAGGGAAAGATGTGGAAGTCCTTGGCAATTACCAGCAGATTACCCAGTTTAAGATATGTTCCCCTAGTTTTTCTGTGTGACTTTGGGCAAGTCGCTGACAGCTAGACATGATACAGCATTCAAGCTAAAAGATAGGAGCTATAAGGTCTGACTTCCAAGACTCTAGTATGGGAACAGACTCCACAACCTGAAGTGAAATATTGAGGGTAGCTTCCTTAAGTTAAGTCTTAGAGACTAAGATACACCAGAATGGGAATTGTAAGAGCTGAGCAGGGAACTGCATAAATAGGTATGTCCAGGGACAGCTAAGAACAGAAATACCTTTCATAGTTCCCATCTCTGTGTGCCACTCGACTTCAGGTGGATACCACTATCCACTTGAGATTCACAAAGTAAAGGTCTAGATGCTTGTTTTCAAAGAGCAGAACAAAGCTTATTCCTTTAAAACGGTGTCAAGCCTAGTTGTTAATAGCACTTCTCTGGGATTGGGAACTTCTGCTCAAGTCCATTCTTCTATAGTCAAGGGATTCAAGCCTTATCCTTTCTGGATAAGAGATATACTCCACCTCTTCTGCTGAAATAGCACTTCTGAGGACAAAAACATTTACGATTTATTGGGTGAGAAAGCAGGGACCAAGAATAATTGTGACAAATGTGAATGGATTTGGCAGGGGTAGACAAGCCTTGGCTGTTGATCCCTGTGCCTAGGAGTGCTTCTGTGTTTTACCCAGTTCTATTTAATGCATATAGAAAACTAGTTCTGGCATTTCAACTATATAGTTTGGGCACGATGTCTTTTGGTTGCTTTTGATGGAAGACTGTGATCCTTCCCCCCACGCCTCCAAATAACTGATTTTCTTCTTTCAAGGTGTGTATATCCAAGTTATCCCATGTTTGGGATAATGGAGCAGATAATGGTGTGATACATTATCTGAGAATGAAATGTCCCACAGCTGACAATTCAAGGGCTTGCAAACTGTGCCCTGTGCTAGAATTTAGTCAGGTCAAATAAAGCAGAACAAAGGTGCTCAGATCGATGACTGCTCTGACCTTCCTGTTACTGTCTAACTGCCCTTCAACTTTACCTCTTCAGGCCTCTTACCAACCCAAAGAGAAGTGCAAGAAAATATGCTAGAGGTTACCTAGGCTATTTCTTGGAGGCTGTTCTTCATCTCTTCTGCCTTTTCAGGGATGCTGAGGTTTTCAGTGGTGAGGACAAGGACCTGCTTCATTACATTGTATTAGTGTCCAGTGTCATAGTCCCAGTTGATAGACACTTTGTCAAAGCATTGTGAAACACTTCAGGATAAGCCTTGTGATACCGCTGGAAGGAAAACTGTTTCAAAAAACATATAGCATGTATGAAGGAAATAGTAGCAGTTTATTAGTTAACATCAGTACCTCATTTTTACTTTTACCACTTACAATTAATAAAAGCACTTCCTATGCCTGTATTAAGTAATAAAACCTATGTGTTTGTGTTAAGACACTGTATTATCTTTACTAGCTTATAGCGTATCTATGAATGCAAGAGTGAGAGGGTTTTTGGGTAGAGTTAGTATCTGTTCTTACTAACTGGTACAGAGAGAAAGATTAGATAAGTTTTTGGGCACAAACAAACCTGTTTCTGTTCTAAAACAGAATCAGTAAATGCAAAGCTAAATACCGATTTAAGCATGTGTTGAGAGAAATGATATCTGTACATACATTGGTTTTAAAAGCAAAGATGCTATATATGAAATAGAGGAGATGTTATTGTGGGAGAGAGAAAGTAGTTGTCTCCAAGGTGAAGTGGGGTAAGGGTTAATTTATAGCCTGAGAAATATGAAGACACGTTAGTATGAGCCATGGAAGTTATGAGTTATTATAGACTTAATGTCTCTGAACCCAAGGTGTCTGATATCTAGTGGAGTTATGAGTTAAATCCTGAGATCATCTCTGGGATGATTTTTGTAACTTTCTGCAGGGGATCAGGGCTGAAGATCACAAGTGGATCAGAGTCTTCATGAGAAGTATCTCATTACTGTCAACTGCATTTCTGGCATTTTAGGCTGTGCAGGGGAGCTTGTGCTGCTGAGGGAGGTTTTGCTGGTGCATGGTAGCCCCTTATCTCTACTTTCACAGCTGCTGTGACAGTGTTTGGTGATCCAGTCTGTCCCACTGCAGGCAGTGGTGTGTAAGAGGTGAGGGCACCCACGTATATACTGTAGGGATGTTTATTGTGGTAATAATGAAACAATGTTAGAAAGAAATCATCTTTTTCAAATCAAACTCTTAGCACCTATTCTCAACTCATATGTGATTTTTAAATCTGTTGCTTCTATTTTAGACCTGAAGAGAGTTCTGTACCAAAAATGTTCACAGTTTTCCAGCTGTTCCAGTTGGTTTGCAATTATATTGGCTCAACCTTAAACCCCTTGTTTTATCTACATCCTCAGAACTTTAGAGTTACAGTAATCTATGACTATAGAGTATAATAATAATGTAATATTTTAAATTTTTTTTTTTAATTTTCATGTAGGCACCTGTATCTCCTTTCAACTTGCTCACTGTAAAAATACTAAGAGTGAGGAATGTCCGGAAGGCAGACTTGTGTGAGTACTTCTACTGTTGGATGTTTTGTATAACTCTTTAAAGAAAATATTTAGACAATGTTATTGTTCTCAAATTGTGCAGGAGTGAAAAGATATATTGCTGCATGTTTGCAAGAATTATTTTTAGTTTGATACTGAAATGTTGTTTTCTGCTCTTCAGTTTAAAGAGACTGACTCAAACAAGGTGATGCATTTTATGTCTTTTTTTCATACCTCAATGTATGAGATATATTTCCTACCCTTCTGACATCACGCTTAGCTGCTGATCAGAGGGCTGTTCAGTAAACAATGTAAATTCTTGTGGTTTTAAGTAAGAAACCTGAGTATTTCCTACAGAATTTCTGGATAGAAGAAAGGAGAGAACTGGTAATGCAGACATAAAATCAGCAGTAGTGGGAAAGCCTATGAAAATAACAGAAGTACAAGCAAAAACATTCTATTGCTTCTGCAAAATTTATAAATATGCGAGAAGTTATGATAAAATCCAGGGCGTCTCAAAATTTATTTGACCTAAAAAATGGAGCACTTTAAAAGTCAGAAAAAAAATGAACAGAACATTTCTGTGAGAGCCTGAAAGGAATTTAAGTGGGGGATAGTGAGGCAAGGTGAGAAAAGGTTGTCTAGAATAGAGACTACAAGAGAAAAATGTCATAGCCAGATCACAGAACAAGAGTTAATGGTGAGAAGAGCCCAGGACAGAAGAAATCTCTGCAGTAGGGAAGTCTAGGGAGTCTGGTGACATCCAGCTGAGAAAAGCCCTATAACAATTCACGGTCTCTGCTCTGCAGGCTGGTGGGCACTGGCTTGTTGAATCAGAGTGTGTGGCAGCAAATTTAAAATGAAATCCTCAGTGGGAAAATTACACTTGCAAAAGATGGAAAGAACACCTTGTTTGCTGTCCAGATCTGACACTGACTTACCCAGGGGAAGGACTGACTTAATTCTGAATTTTCCAATTCATTGAATATCTTCCTCACAACTTACATGACACAGATGTGGGTCCTCAATAATACACTCTTCTAGGTGCATTGAGACTTGTTCAGATGTCTTTCAAAATGCAGTTATGTCACTGAGTCACTTTAATGGAGAAATGTGAGTAGTGAAACATCTGTTTAAAGAGGTTGGAAAGGCATGAAGGAAAAATGTGAAATAAAGACAAAGAGAATAACGAAATTTGAATCTAAAGACCACAAGAATAAAACCAAAAGGTATAAAACAAAAAGCCCAAAATATATTCCCTTAAAGCTCGTTGAACATAGCTCAAAATCAGTTTTCTTTTGGTACCTGCAGAATTTCATGCAGTACATCATAGTTTCTGAGAAAACCAGCTGTAAATTTTAGTTAATCCATTCTATATTTTTAGATTTTAACTTGTGTGATGGGTCAGGAATAGAGGGAAAACTTATCAGGGGTTGAATTTGGGGGTTTCTGGCAGGAGGGATGTGGTGAGATGACATGGAAGTTGTGCTTAAGAGCAGTGGTTTTGAATGGCTGATTACTATCAGGGAACAAATCTCTGCTGGACTTACTTGTGGTATTCCGGGTTACTTACTCATGAGTCTTCTACAATGTAATACTACTGTGCTTCTTTATGTTTTCCCTTGGTTCATTAGACAAGATGAAAGTACCTTATAAGACATAAAGTTCTAGGTTTCCTGGAGACTTAAAGATCAATTTTTATGTACAGAAACATGCATTCTCTGGGCTTATGGTCAGATGCATAACTTTTCATTTGACAAAACCCAGATGTTCAAATGCCTAAATGGTATTTTGCACCAACCAAATAGGCCAGTACTGCAATTGCATCTACCAACCTGCATGCACAATTATTGGTGCATTTGTGTACTCCAGTAGATCGTCTGCTTATACCCTAGTTTCTTGTGTCTGTCCTTCTCAGGAACAACTTGCTTGTGGTCACTTGTTACCACAGTGAATCATGCAATCTTTTTTTGTTAAACTTGTTGGCAGATCTGTTGTACCATATGGCTTAGTACTTTGTATTCTGGTCTCAAGAACAAAAAAATATCATATCTTTACCTCCTTGATACGCCCCAGGTTCAGAACTTGGGCATCCCAAGAATTTGTTTAAAGTGTATCTGTCCGAGAGTTTTGTAAGCTTTTCAGTGAAAGTATTTTCCCAACAGAAAATTTGTTGTCTAAAGAAACTCGCATTATCGTGAAAAACCTGTCCATTTTTATGTCTGCAGTGGGAAGGATATTTCAGGCAGTCTTTTCCTTTTCTGAGGTATAAAAAAGGCAAACATTTCAGCTAGTTTTCCTTGAAACCTCACTATTTTCAATATGGGAAAATGTCCCTTTTCTACCTGTTTGTAATGGTAACAGTATGCTGCTTGTTACAATTCTAAGTTAGCATTTATTTCCTCCACTTTAGTTTTCTGGTTTTTATGGTTAAATGTTGGTCTTATGTTAAATGTCTTTCTAAATGTTATGGTTTTATGTTAAGTCGTGGTGTCAATTTATTTTTTATGTTCCTATTTACTTCACCAGTGAAAAAAGAGTATGCTTTAACAGTATTCCTCCTTAGTGTTATTTCAGAAAAAGATAATTTTAATAGGTTTGGATATAGGCCTGAAAAACTAGACTGTGTTTTTGACCCTGACACTGACTGCATTATGAGATCTTGGGCAAATCATATAATGATGGAATGGTTTGATTTGCAAAGGACCTTAAAGATCATTTAGTTCCAAACTCCCCTCCCATGGGCAGGGACAATTTCCACTAGACCAGGTTGCTCAAAGCCCATATCCAACCTGATCTTGAACAGTTCCAAGAAATTCAAGTCTTCTCAATGTACATATTTGCATAATCCTTTTATTGCTACTGTGAAGTAATTCATCAGTGTGTCTCAAGACCTTTGAAAATGGAAACTAGCTTTAAATCACCATTAATCATTTACATTTTCATCTGCCTACTCTTGTGCCTCTGCTGAACATCTGATCAGTCACGCTCTTCCGATTAGGTGTAACTAAGGCCACTCTCTGGAAACACTTTCCTTCCCACAGTCATTATCAAGATTTTGCTAATCATGGTAGCATGGTTAACTACACAATAAAGGCACAGCTTGACTGGTAGAAAAATCTAAATCTGCAGTTGTTACTGAAAGATAAAGAGGAAATACATGAAGTAATTGTTCTTAATATGATGTAATAACACTGTTACAGGTTTTGGGAATGATGCAGGGCTTGACAATGGGTTGAATTATTTGGCCTCTTCTGACTCACGAGGTTGCTGTAAGAACCATGTGACTGACTGAGCATTGCTAATGTGAAATAGGGAGATTGCATTACAGGCATGAGAGAAAGGCTACCAGTGCCTGTGTCGTGGTTCTGCAAATCTCACTCCCTGGAGTTCTCCCTCCCAACCCGAGGACTCAGAATACAGGAGAAACTAATGTCTTTGGTGGCACTCATGGCTTCCTTCCCCAGACATGAGTGATGGCAGAATCTTTCTAGTCTGCAGATAAAATAGTAGGAAGGAATTGAACAACTAGTAATTTAATTGCGGTGATGAAACTGATTTTTGTTTTCCAAAAGAATTGCTGAGAAATATATAACTTCTAAGAACTTTGTCAATTATATGAATGAATATGGAATTGACACATTCTGATTTGTGGCACAGAAATCAAACTTTTCAGCTTTGATGGGGGAACACTTTGCTTTTTGGCAAAAAAAATCTGTTGTTCCATATTTAAGCCAGCACTTCAATAAAGGCTTTCATTTAGTTATTGAAATTCTTCATTCTCTAATGAGATTCTTCCCAAATCTGGGAAATAAATTATAGAAAATAAGTCTCTACAGCCCAGATTTAAGGTTTTGAGGTGTATTGTCTGTTCAAGCCGTTTGGAAAGGCATGAATATAAAGCAAAATGCAGTGTGGATAGGTGTACATGTACTGTATGTGGAGTACAGAGCTATTTCAAATATAAAGTAACATTAAAAAAAAAAAAGTAAGTCTGACTAAAAATGAAAAGGTGTAAATGAGCATTGCAAATGAGTGAAGATGTCTCTATTTTCCTGTAAATGCTTCATTGTATTACTTACTCATACCCTGTATATTTCAGGAAGAAAGCCCCAGCTGTGCCATCTTTGTCTTATTAGGGTTAAATGTGCACTGTGCAGTAATTCTTTTTCTGGATACATTTTAACTCTACTCATCTTCTCCCTATATAGTCACCCTTTCAGACTGTTACGTGACACTGTGGCTGCCTACTGCCTCAGCTGAGAAGGTTCGGACCAGAACCATCAGGAACAGCAAAAACCCTGTTTGGAATGAAGCTTTCTGCTATAAGGTCGACCGCCGTGTCAAGGTAATGAAAATAAATGGTTTTCATAATTCGATGTCTGCAGACAGTGGATTACACAAAAGTACAATAAACCAATACATATATAGCTAGTTTCCAAGCACTGGAGATGTTAAAGATTTCTCAGAAAAAATCCCTGTTGCTTACATGCTCCTTAGTGTTGTTCTATTCCAGCTATTTGTTACTTAAACATCTACTATGCTGAAAGACTAAGAATGCCCTGCAGAATATGACCTTACTATCCCATTCCCAATCTTGACACATACAAGTGAAACCCAAGATCATGTAAAATAGTAGTAAAATGAGTTAGTTCTAGATATTGTGGAAAGGAAATCCTTTAAATCTTCTTTATATACCTGTACCTGTTTTATACACTTAGACCCAAAGACCATAAAAGAAATGTAGAAACATTTAATATCACAAATTAATTAAATAAACAATTAAATAAACAATTAATATCACAAATTCATGAATATTCTACATGACCTGCCTGTGTCTTCTGCCTGGGGAAGTGAAACAAACCTACTTCTTTGTGTATGTAGAATTACTAGCAATGTGAAGTCTAATAATCCCAAATCTCTTCCCCTTTTCTGTTTCCCTTCTCCTTTTCCTTCTTCCCCTAAAATTGGAGGGGCAGGGAAAGAAAACCTGGTCTTAAGATTTTCCTGCCTTATGTGGCTCCCAGATATAGTAATAACTCCATTATATTCTTAATCTCTTTGTGCAGAATGTGCTGGAGCTAAAGGTCTGTGATGAAGACACAGTCACCAGGGACGATGAACTCTGCACGGTTCTCTTTGACATAGATAAACTCACTGTTGGACGTACTGTTCGAGTGAAGTTTCAGCTGAATCCACAGGTGAGTACTGGAGCTGGTGAGAACAAAAGTAGATTCTTTCCTTCCATCTAAATATATCCTTTTACAGTGTTTTATTATAGGGAACATCTACTTAAACAGTATTTTGCTGCTATTATGAGAAAGACTTAAAGTTCCTGTATGAGTGTTCCATGCACTATGCTAAAAATCTAGGGTGGAACGAGCTGGAACTAATTATCCAGAGTCTTAATTCTGAATGTTTCTGGCCTGTTTGTTGACTCTTGGTATACATTCTGAATTTTCAGCCCCTTTAAACTGTAATAATATTAAAGCATCTGACTCTTTTTGTGTTGGGACTTAAAATCTGAAAAATAGTTGTTTTAGCAGAATAGAAGTTCCTACATCTGCATGCTCATATAGCATTTAGATTTCAAGAAACTAGTTTTAGCAACTGCTTTTTCAATACCTTAAAATTCAATATCATCAGTTGACATTACATTCTCAGAATTTTTCTAAGTGCTATTCTAAATACGTATTTTAAAAATTATATGTAACTGGTATGATGAAAGCTGAGAAGAAAAATAAGTGATGTATCTTTGTTTCCTTTTCTCTTCAGGCACGTGAGGAGCTGGAAGTGGAGTTCACATTGCAGAACACGTGAGTAGAGTCCTAAATTCTAAATAGAGTGTTGTATTTAGTATAAAAATAGCGTGAAAAGCCAATTCATATGGAGAGTTCTTCTTAAATCTGAAGTGTCTGAAAGCAGTATCTAGAGGTTTTTATTCAAGTCTAGTAAAATAGGATTTCAGAATACATAGATTTTAATTATCTGAAATGTTGCTTTAGTCCTGTTTGACTACTGTTCTCTTTTTTGTCATTGAATCAGTATACAACAAAGTAGGGGGACAATGACAATATTTAGGAAGTTTTGACCCTTAAAAGAAGGAATGCCAAACTTGAATGTCTTGATTACCCTCCTTCTTGAGGAATCTGGCTTTTCACATCCACAACATTATAAAATGCACTTCTGTAAACTGATCTATTCAATTCATCTGGCTACACATGGGAAGCTATGGTGGAGAAGGGAGCTAAATATTCTACATAAAGTAAGGACCAAAGATTGCTGTGGGAGTCTGAGGACTGAGGAACCAGGAAAGGTGGAGGAGCAGCAGTAGCTTCACTTGGTAGGCTTGAAAGCTTTCAGTGGAGTTTGACTGTTTAGAGGATGCATTTGCTTCACGTAATTCATGCTGTGGAGAAGTCTAGGAACCTGTCACCCTAACTGGAGAGGGAGTCTGTTGCAGGATCAAGGGTGCTCTAGTCTATCCCCAAAATATGCTTCATGACTCTGAGGAAGTTACTTGAAAGGGTTTCTATTACCAGTTCAATCCATGTTATCGGACTGAAAGTGTTATTTAACCAACCTTAGAGGTGGTGATATTTTTGGGAGTTTCTCAAGGCATTTGGGATGCTTCAGGAGGTCGCGGTATAATGTGTTGGTGGACACTGAGTAATGTGTTTATTCCTGACAGCAGGTGAAATAAGAACTTGCTGGTGAGAGGGCAATGACTCAGTGTTAAGAACGGAAAAAGAAAGATCTCACAGTGTTCACATGAAAGGCAGTCCCAGAATCTCCTATTACAACTCATGGAGACTCATCAGTGATGGATTGTTTGTTGTTTACTGTGCGCCAAAACTTGCAGAAGGCCTAGCAGCATCAAGACAAACAGTGCCTGTCACCCCTCAGGAGTGTCATGACATCAGTAATGGCAATGGGGAAGTCCCAGTAGGCATCCCAATGTCCCAGAAGACCTGCCTAGGGCCTTCCTTCCTTTGCAAGTTAGAGGATGGCTTATGGAGTTGATATATAGAATCATGCTCTTGATATTAATGGGGAAGGTCCAGATAGGTTGTCTGACTTGGATGCTGTGCACAAGTGGGTTTGCGTATGGAGATGGAGGCTGGAATTTGCCTCGGAGCGTGTGTGCCACTAGCTCTGTGTCAAAGTTTTCTGTTGGAGATTGCAGCAAATTGCCTTTTCCTGGAGTCATATTCAATAAAGTCAGAAACACAACAATTTCTGCAAGTGATACCTGAGTAGCAATTCTGCTGGTTGGAAGATAATGTTTGGGACTTTACAAATAAAAAGGACCCTTGGCAGTCTCAAGGAAGTGGTTTAAAAAAGAATGACAGTCATGGCTCAGTTGCTACAGCAAGAAGGCATCTGATCTACTTTTTTCCTTCATAGTGTTCCTGAGTGACCAATGTAATAGTTGTGGCCTGAAGAACTCCACTTGCCAAGGGAAGAAATTGTTGCATTATAAGTGAGGAATTGTGTGTGAGGTCCCAGTAGGACTGAGAAAATCTGCTTCCTGTTGGAAGTGAGATAAACTTTTCCCCTACTTATCCCTCATTTGCACTTCTTGTATTTGTGTGGTGGTCAATGCTGTTCTGCCCATCAGTTAAGTCTGGAATAAAAGTCTAAGCACATCTGAACTGATTAAATATTGTGATCTTGGTAGGATGCTGAGAGGGGTCTTTTTTCCCCTCAGCAAAGGAAAGTATGATGTCAGAGTAACTAATGAAAGGGTTTTTCTACTAAAATTGGAGGCAATGGATCACATTGTTTGTGATACATGAGAGAGCCCTGAAAAGGTCTGAAAAACTGAACTGAAGTAGCTGAGATGGGTCACCAGGAAGCTATGGACCAAGCTGACCTCACATATGTTGAACAAGCTCAGCAGGTTTCCGCAAACTTTTTGTCACTGCTGGATGGGAGAAGTGTTGACAGAGATTAGAGATAATTTTCAGAGGAAGAGAGCCCTCTTATAACAAGAACTACAGCTAAATGTGGGATATTTTCCAAAAATCTTGTGTTGTGATGGGAACAATGAGAACATACATTTGGGGAGTAAATATGGCAGTTTATACCTGAAATCAATAATTATTCCCACCAGCAATTTTTCCTGATGCTATTTATCTGTAGTTTTTAATTTCTACCACATCTTCTTTCCAGACATCACTAATTGCAAATTTACTACATTAGCTTGTTCTTTCTTTCCAGTATTTCAGATGAATAATATCACACATGAAGTGCAACCCCAGGCCAAGAAAGTTTCTTAAGTTGCACCTATGATAGTGGCTTTGTCACTCCTGTTTTTGTTTGCCTATACTCTCACTGCAAAGTTTGTGTTTACCAAAAAGAGTATTGTAAAAATTCCCTCATGATACATTGATGGGCTATATGAAATTTGGTTCTGCATTCATTCCCATTTTATTTTATTTAAAATGGAAGAAACCCTTCATTTTGGTAGGTGGGTTTCCACAACTGCAAGATGAATACTCTCTCTAGTGTTGCCTCAACTCTTATGCCACTCCTGCAGTATCAGCAAATGCTCACCTCTCTGCTGCAGAGTGGCAGGCACTGAGAGCCAGATGTTTGATCCTAACAACATGGAGAGAAAGGCATGCTCCTTCCTCCAAGTGTCACCAGCAACTGAGCCAAGGGATTGCAAACGCCTGCCCAATGTTTTATGGGCCCATAACACAAGCCCAGCTGCCATGAGAGCTGCTGCACTCAAGCGGCAGTGACAGAAAAGGTAAGGTCGTTGTACACAGGTTGCTGATTTGAATACTTTAGTGCTTTTTGTGTTATTTTCTGGTGATTATCAATGGTAATGTGGGCTTTCTTCCCTGTGTTTCCATTGGTAGGGTCCAGCATCAGAATGAGCCTATACGGGTTGCTACAGGGACTGGGTCCCGCTGGACTAGGTGGCTTCGCTCGCTCAACATCCCCCTCCCCTCTGACTTCTACTGAAGCCCACACTCGATATTGAGGGGCCACAAAGAAGCTTCTGATGAACTAAAAGGTACTTTGAGTTTCCAAGGAGAGGTCTGAGAGCCCCATGGTATTTGTTGTACCTGCTGATCTTCTCTTTGGCCTCTTTTTCCTTTCAGGTGTCCCAAGTTGAGGAAGTGCATCTCAAACAACTCTTAGAAGAATGAAGGACCACTCTTACACAACCTTTCATCTCAACTCCCTCTCCCTTTTTTTTTTTTCAAATGTGAAAGACAATATTTAAAACGAAGGCCAATAAATAAATGTAAATAGGTGTACAATAAGTTGTATAAAAGTTAAATATTGATTATTGAAACATGGCAAAAGCATAATTTTTAGAAAATAAAAGTTGTTTTTCTTTCTGTAGTTCTGCTGTATTATTTTGATAAATTCTCCCCATATGTGGGAATCATGCTAGCCATTTGGTTTGGGCACTGCTGAGGAAACAGGCTGTCTCCATCCACTGGGGACCAAATGTACTGCTCGTATTTTGGAGGAGCACTGAAGACAAAAGTTAGAAGTTGAGAAAGATGACAACCAAAAAAACATTTGAGGTGAATACAGCCTTCTTTACTGAAACAGTACTATACCCCATGCTTCTCTTGAGTTGTCAGAAAATTCAAAAAAGTATCCTGTATTATTATGGAACCCAATAAAAGGAGGGAAGCTGGATCTGGCATGAAAGAATTCAAATTTTGTAGATAGGTATCAAAAAATTCGGATTCTCTGGTGAAATGGAGCACACTAGTCTATTCTAAATGAGAACTGCAATACAAGAATAAGTTACAGTGTGACCGTAACTTCCCATACAATGTTTCCTGTTTCATTATAACTCAGGCACAATCTATAAAGGAGAAGGCAGCAGTTTGATGTATACCAGTCCGCTTGATGTATACCAGGTGTTGGGAAATGATCCCTGGGCTCACAGAGTCCACTGCAGCCTTAGGCACCCCTTCAACAGACATGTAGTGAAGAAGGATGTCTAGAGTCTCTGTTTTTGGCTTTCCGTGCCACAGGCTGTAATATGCGGCTGATTCTCATAGTGAAACTGAGGTCTGCAATAAAAAAAGACCACAAATCCCAAACTGTGATGGAGGAGAGGACAGGAGTCTTAGTATGTGTAATGAGGACTTCTAATAGCAGGTTGATTGGTAGAGAAATTACCAGCTGGTCACAAGAAATGGATGCTATGCAGTGCTCCGAAGATAGGCAAAATATTCAAAAGTCCCTGCCAACCTGAATAGTAAGAACTCTTTTGCACGCAGTTCAGCTCTGTTTCTAACTGTGGCTGATTTCCAAAGCTTCAGAGAAAAGTGAGTGCCTTTGCTCTTCTAACACTAGTGTGTGGATAACCAGGTTAAAAAAATAAATTAAAGCATCTGTCTTAGGCTGTGACCAGCAGAAATCTTGAAATTCAGGATATAAAAGTGGAAACTGCAGTGTGGAGAGTAACTAACAAGTGACAGTAGCTGGGCTTTCTTACAGCAATGACAGCAGAGGTAACACCCCAATAGAGAAAATTCAGATACTGGTGCTTAATGGCTGAGTTGTCCTGGTTCTTCTCAGGAGCATTCCAAACTGTTCTGTACAACAGTGCAGGTTTTCCACCATGTTTGAGGGTCATACCTGGGACCTCCTGGCTATCAGCTAACTTTATACCTTACTGATACCAGTACTTCAAATAATACTATGCTTTACTGGACATTTACTTTCAAGAAGAGATATCTTTACCTCTCTTTCCACCTTCATTTCATCAGGCTATGCAGACTAAAATCTTTTAATATTTATCACGCTGTTTCTTGCTTTCCTTGTTTTTATTAATGAAGCATTTGAAGATAGTGACACCATATGTAATGTTATGACTATTTTATTGCAAAATCATAATTAAGTGCAAAAATTTGTGTCTGAAACAAAACTTGAGTGGTATGGTACTTATGCACATTTCCCTGTATACAGGTAGAAACACTGAGTATTTCTTGCCCATTCCTGACCAATGTTCTTTGAATTCTTCTGAAATACACTTTCAAAGAAAGATCTTACAAAATTCTTAAGTGTATAACTGTTTTTTGAGGAGAGGTGTTTGCTTGGATTTTGTTGTTGTTTGGTTTTTTTTAATGGAAAGTTTTGCAGTGTATTTAGCCAGCTCATATTTTTCTCTTAAAGGAAAACACTGATTTGGAAATGAAACTTTAAGCTGTTTATGAGTCTTGCAATTTTAGGTGAATTCTTTGTCATGGGAAATCTTATAAAGCTATTATAATGTGTGTTTATACTGAAATTTAATTGTTGTGATAAATCTTCACTTAAAGGGGATACAACCAATGTCCTTCATCTGATTTCAAAGGAATTGTATCATCTGGCTTCAGCTGAGATAAAATACAGAAACTATAGAATTATGTGAAACCTCAGAGTGTATAATCCATAGCTTTTAAAGTCTTAATAGACAGCTTGTAATCTCTGTAGCAGGTTGAGGAGTCAGTGCTCAATCTTCACAAAGTATTCCCTTTTGACTGCTCTGAGTTCTTGAGATACTATAAAAATTTACATGTGCAATTTATTAAACGGGTAAATGATAAGATATTCTTAAATGACATTGCCTTATTTTTCTGATGGAAAAATAAGAATATATTATGAATTAACCTCTACCCCTGTAAGCGGAAACACGTCTACACATATAGTGATCTATTAAAATCTCATGTGTGATTTGCAGGTCACTATATAGAGGTGAGTACAATTACTTCTGCTGTTATGGTGATTTTTTTTTTAAGTTGTGGAAATCTAGGCAGTTGTATCAGTTTTTGAAGTACAAAACCTTGGGTAAAACTGTAACGATCAAAACAATCAAGATGGATTTAACAGCCTCCAACTGTCATCACACTCAATATGTCACATATCAGTATTCATTGCATGGTTTGCTGAAGCAAATGTGTAAGACCACAGGAGCAGAAATCCAACTTCATATTTTGTCATGAGTGGATGGAAAAATTGCAACTCAGGTCATCATCTAATCTTAAGCTTTAAAGTATTTTTGTGTGAGAATGTTGAAGTCAGAAATGTCAAAGCTGATGGGGGAAATGAGTAATGTGTTGACTAATAGACTTAAATATTTGTCTGAGTTGTCACACCCATGACATTATATTTTCTGTTTTATTTTTCAGTCTGGACTATCCTGATGGCATTATTACTAATGGAGTACTAGTGGTAATATATATTTATTACAATCTTTCTTGTGTCTGCATAGCAAGTGCAGACTAACTAACTCTGGAAACTTTAAGCTCTGTCCTAAAGCCAATATTGCCACCTACTCTGTTCTACAAACTGGAGGCCTAGAACTATCAGGAGTTAGTGAAGCAAGTGATACAATGCTCATAAAATAGTCCCGTATCTTAATGCACCCATTATTTTGAACAAGGCTCATCTTCTTTACTTAACTGTCTCTCCAAGTTCAAGCAGCTCATGAGCTGTTCCTCTTTAATTTCATATTCAGAAAAAAATACCTTATCTCTATTTCCCCCATGTTATCTGAAGACATAGTAATAGATAATAACTGTGTTCCTCATTGATCAACCAGAGGGGTTGGTTGAGAACAGTATGAATCACTTGCAATGACATTTATACTTCTCTCAGTCATCACTCATCCTCTCTTGCTACAGGCACGTGAGGTTTCCTGTTTGGAGGTTAGAGTGGATATGGGGAAGCTGAAGCAGCAATCCACAAGTGAGGTTATTGCTTCATTAAACTATTGTTTTTGTGTTGTGATTAAGTCATTATAACAGATGTTTGTGCACATTACTGTAGCTGTGTCATATAATACTTAGTTTTGCCATGTCCCACCTGACAAAAGATTGTATCTGTCAAAATTCAAGTTAGTCAAGTATTTGGTTATGAGGCAAATCTTAAACTGATGCAAAAATAGAGCCATATATACTAGAACGAAAAACTTGGAAAAATTATATTAGTTCTTTTTCCGTTTATTGCTTGTCCAAAATGAATTTTTCTAAGTTGGATCTTCTTTTAAAATTATCTTATAATTCAAATAATATGTAAAAGTAATATCCTGTATGTTTGATTTGGGTTTGAGTATGTATAAAGTTTATGCACATTTAGAGTTCCGAAAGAGACCTTTTTTTTCTCTTTTTTTTTTTTAGTAAAAATAATAAACTTAAACTCTTAAAACTTAAACGTAAAATTGCACTGAAGGGGTCTGCCCAAAATGCATGAAAATACTCTGCAACCACAGGATCATCAAAACAGGACTGTTTGTGAAATTTAGCTCTAATAAATACAGCAGGATTCTTTGCTAGTCTTTAATTTCATTCAAATAAACAATAACTTTTGTAGAGCTGCTCATGGGGCAAATCTCAAAAACTCTCATCTGTATTAAGTTAATTCACGGGTGGAAAATTGACCTTTATAAAGAAAATGGTAGCAATTACTGAGTTGCACTACAGGAACTTTCAGGCAGAAATCTAACATGGGGAGGAAAGGTTAGTGAAGTAAAATTATATGCTTCTTGGCCCTGATCTTGCAAGAGAACTGTATATTATCTCTCCGTAAACGTAAAGGCTTTTCTGTACAAGAAACACAAACTTGGGGTTGACAGGTTGTTTCAGTTTTGGTGACATGAGGGTATATACCAAGTAATCTGCTTGATTTTTGAGTTTATAAAATCATTTGATGGTTGCAGACTTAATATAATGAAATGTACACAATGAACCAGAACAGATTGACTTCAAATAAATGACTCTGTCATTCAGCATGGATAATCCAAACCGCCTTTAAACTGACACTCCTTTAAATCTAGACCTTAGTTTCATTTATTTATGGAAAGCACCTACCAAATAGCAAGCTGTGATATTTAAAAAATCTGTGATTTCTGTATATTTATGATTTATACAGATTCACCAAGATATTTTATATCAGTTTTCAGTCTGTTTCAGATACTCAAAGTCTACTTCGTCATCGTGGTGTAGGGAAAATCAGACATAAAGAGTGCAGAGTAGAAGCAGATTGGGATTTTTTGTTTGTTTTTGGTTTTTTGTTTGTTTGTTTTTGTTTTGTTTTAATTAGCTGTGTATGTTTGCTTAGAATAGTTAAAATTCTCTTTGTTCCCTACCTCTCTGTTTAGACCAGGAGCTTACATTTACAGTGAAAGGATCACATGAAGGAAGCCAGAAAATTTTGCTGGACTCTTGTCCCAGCCTTCATATCATCATGTTTCACTGCATCATAAATGACCAGACAAGACTGGATATTATATTGCCAGAAGAGGTAAGTTCTATTTCTGTCTGTTACCATTAACCTCAATGAAATTAGAACAAGAAATTAATGTAATCAGTGAACTGAACTAGCCCTCTTAGTATGAGAAATTCTAGAGATGACAAACATTTCCTGTGTGCATATCCAACTCCTTTTTACATTTTTTCAGCTGGCTGATGGAAATGAAACAGAGAAGCCTGGGGTCCTTTCTTTCCCTTTGAATTCTCTCCCTTTGCAGAAGGAAATAGTACTAGAAGAGGTGAATGCTGTGAACCTTTCGAAATATATATTTTTAAAATGTGCTTAATATTGTCCTGCTAGAAATAAAGTTACCAAATAAAAAAAACACTGTGTAAAATTGTACAGCTAGTTATTGTAAATGATAAAAAATAGTTTGTCATAGTCACTTTTAAAGGAGCAGGTGTTAACAATAATTTTCATAATATGAAAATCATTGTAAACCTGCATCCCACAATTAGAACCAAGTGGTTTCAAGGAACAAAAGTGACTGTCATATGTACATGCATTCAAGATTTTTTTTTATATTGGGGTAATTCTGGAATGGCTAATAATTAAAAAAATTGTGAGATTATGAACTTAATTCCGATTTTAATTTGTCTAAATATTGATAGTGGGAGTGGGTTTGTATATATTTTTTTATTTTAGTTTAATAAGTTAACTTATTCCTGTTGCTTCTTCTAAGTGTGTGCACTGGTGACCTATGTGACATGCAAACTTGTGGTGCACTACCTGCCCCAAACACCCAGGCTTATAAGAGAAGAGAAAATATGACTGGCTAATTGTACAAAAAAAGTCCTTAACCTTATGATTTATTATTTAAAATCCCCCTCTCTTATTCAATAGGCATTGCCTGAGCTTGAAAGAAAGAATGTTTTAAAATTTGGTGGTAATTAGTTTTACTTTCTCAATTTCTAGGATAATTCATTTTGCTTGTGCTTGACGACAAGAAAATGGTAAGATAGCCTCTTTTTGTCCTGTCATCCAGGACTACTGTAAACTAATTATGTAGGTTTTTTCTATGATAGATGGAGAGATGAACACATGCCACGTGAGTGCTTTGTCCTGTGCTCATGTGGTGCTTGAGGTGAGTACAAGTCTGCTGCAGTTACAGGATTGTGCAGTTCAATATGAGTATGTGAGCCTTCATAGGTTTCTTCTGAGTAAATTAGTTTATTTTATGACTATGGTTCTTATATGTGAGTAAAACTGTACTACTCACATATTAATTTTATTTCCCATTTATGCCAACAGTCAGATTTGCATAATGACTGAAGTAAACTCTATCGTTCTTTAACTTTGCAAAATCACCAAAACAAACATAGGGCTTCTGCCCCTTCTCCTGCTTCACCAAATAGAATGGAAGCTGAGATCTGACCAGCTGCACCTCTGACAACCCACTTGCAGGGACAGAATTGCACCAGTGATAGGTAAAATTGAAGATGATGATGTTTTATGGTATAGCTGAAAACTTCACATGGTTCACACCATCCCCACTACTGGGTGATATGTAGAAGGGAATCAAGGTGGATTTTCACGACATGGGAGCACTTCATGTAGGTGCAGAGCTACCTGTTCAACCTCAGACCATAACAAAATATATTGAAATGTGAATCTAGAAGACCCAGATTTATAGAGAGAGCAGGAGAAATTTAAATCTAATACTAAAACAGTTGTTTGTTTTGTAGAGTAAAGCAGTTGAAATTATTCTGGTTTTGAAATTACACTGTGGGATAAACCAAATTTGCTGGAGAACAGAGGAACAGAGGGTTAGGAGTATTAATCCTTGAAACACTCAAATTTGTGAAATATTGGTGAAAATAATATTCAGGACAGACTTTGCAGCCACCAGAGGGTGATGTGACCAAGAAGATTAGGTCAATATTTAGTGCTCTTTTCAGTAATGAGCGTATTTGTGTTGTTGAAGGCACATAACACTAGCTGCCATTTGATCGGGTTTGCACCTTTTTTTCTGATTTTTTATTTTTGCTTGCGCTTCAGTTTCTCAAGGGACAAAATTCCAGGTGTCTGCACATGTTAGAAAAAAAGAAAGATGGATATTCCTGTATATTTGCAGGATGATGCTTGCAAATGCTTATCTAAGAATCTGTTAAGGACACAGATGAAAGGCTGGATTTCCCAGGACAGAGGCTGAGCAGGGACCGATCCTTGCTCTGTAGTTCAAGCTCCCTCATGTAACTGATTAGGACCATCACTTTAAACACTGCTAGTGGGCTGTCAAAACTTGAGAACAAGTGATGATGGCATCACTTGAATTTTTCAGGATGTCTTGGTGACAAACAGGAATGACACAGAAAAAAAATACGGCCAAAATTATCCCTTTTGGTGATCTTTCCCTGACTTGTGTGCCTTGTCTTTGTGTCCGTATTAACCAGAAATCTAAAGTACCTTGGAAACTCCTCTTCATCCTGACTGCTACTCCTTAATGTCAGTAGAAATGTTTGTTTTTCTTCTTTCCTTGATCAATATGCAGACTTGGAACTAACTTGTTTTACAGATGATTTATTTTCTGATTACGTGCCCTACAGATCTTGAAATCAGCTATAAATGATGTGCATTGATCTGTCCCATTGTCTGTTCTAGCTCAGGAGATCTGGATGTGCGCTTGGGTTTTAGCCTGTGCAAGGAAGAGCAGGATTTCCTGCGGAAAAGGAAGAAATATGTTGCTGCTGCCCTGAAAAAGATTCTTAATTTGGAGGAGGATCTGAAAGAGCATGAGGCAAGGCAATACGGTCCATGGTAGCAACTCCTTTCCAGAAATCAGGACCTGGCTCACAAATTCAAACCACAAATAAAAGCCCAACTTGATTAATGCTACTGCTGTGGGCCAGACCTGGCCACTCAAGGCAAGGGATGAGCAAGAGAAGCAGTGGCCTGTTAATGTAGCAGAGCAGAGGAGGCAGGATAATGTCTTCACAGACCCAAAAACTTCTTGACAGCTCCTCAATTCAGCCCAATCCTGTTTATTCCTGGTATTGCTCATGGGTCTCAGGAGTAAAATTTTTAGTGGGTAGACATGGGACAGCTGGGGGATGTTGCCTGGGAAAGAGTGTACCTTATCTCAGTGACAGACACAAGGTTGTGGGCGTGGCACATGTAAGGGGTTTTGAGAGGAAGAAGCAAATATTTTCACACAAACATCTGAATAAAAATTCTTGGGGTGGTTTCCGCAGCAAAAAAACTGTATTCTTGAGAGAACCAACAGATAGAATAAAACCATCAACCTAGAAGAGTGAATGTTACAGCATCACGAATTGCAGATGAAATAGCTTATTGCAAGTTTAACTGTATCACTATAGCTCCTGCTCCTGTCTCTGTAATTGAGTCATAAATTTTGTAACTGCTTATGCCTAGCTGGGTTGCTGAAAATCAGAGAAGTAAACATATGAACACCAAGAATATTCTTTAGCATTTTAGGAAAAATCCCCTCTACCTTGTTAACTGACTTACATTTGAACTGAAAAAAAAAAAAATTAGAGTTTTAATTCATAATGAAAAAATTACAAGATGTAAAACCCAGAACATAATTTTTGGAATTTATTCTGATTTTAGTTAAGATTATGAGATTTTTCCTCATTTCCTGGATTTAGGCTCTGAAAGAGTTTAGAGTACCAAGAACATCTATTTTGGTGGGATTTCTGTGGTTTTGGGGTTTTTTAGGATGGAAGAATTGTTTTTTCATGCTCTATTCATTGACTTTAGAATAACATATTCCTTTATGAAATTAGAAGCTAATACTTGAAAGATAAAAATAGACATTTTCCATAGGGCATGTAAACATCCACACAACTCTAGATGCTAACGGAAGCAAAGGGTGTACTAGATCAGGAAAAGATTAAGAGAAGAATGGTCTGTCTCTTCAATTACACTTGGACTGTGAAAGGGGGGAAACCCTATCAATGACTGTGCTTCAGGATGTAAAGTAATTAGTAATTAGTGGCCTGTGGCCAGGAAGGTTTCGGCTATTGTGTAGTTTGGCTGATTACAGGGTGCTGTGCATTCTTCTGCAACACTGGTCATTGTTAGAGGCAGAATCATGGATCCTTAATCTACTCCACTGTGGTAAATCCTGTATTTTCTATGATGGCCTCTAATAATACACTTTGAGAAAAATTCCAGGGTGATGAGGTTGATTTCCATTTCTATATTAAGTAAACACCCTCCTGTCTGCCTCATCTGAGTGGATAAGACATAAGCCTTCCCTCTCACATCAGTCAGGTGATAGCAAACAGAAACCTTTTGCAACAATCATACCCTTTTCATATGAAGCAACATCGCTGCTTGTATTAATGCCTGTATTAATCTGATTTCTGCAGTAAGGATTGTTTGTCTCTAATAGGTGCATGGCTTTCTCTTCCTCTGCCTTGCTGTGTTGAACAGGTGCCGGTGGTGGCCATTACAACCACAGGGGGAGGCACGAGATCACTCACTGCCATGTATGGCAGCCTACTGGGTCTGCAGAAGCTCAACCTGTTAGACTGCATTTCCTACATTGGTGGTTTATCGGGTACCACATGGTGAGAATGACCCAAACAAGGTTTATGATTTCTCTGTTCGATGCTCTTGACTCTTTGTACAACACCATTGGCTTATATGGCACTTAGCAGACCAAAGGCATTTCCATTTTCCCCATAGTCTCCTCTCTGTCCACCTGGAACAAAGAGATAAAACATACTGATTAAGAGATCAATCATCACATTTGCGAGCTGCTTTTGTCACCACACTGACTCAGTCTATGCCTGATATTTCCATATGAATGCTCTATTCCTTTTTTGTATTTTATCAACTGTTTTAGACTAAACGCAACAAATTTGTCTTTAGACTGGAAATTGAAGAAAGATGAGAAGAATAATTTATGCCTGCCACTTGCTGGTTATTCTCACTTCTATTTTGGATTTACAGTGCATCTCCCTCTGGTAAAAGATGTGTGGGGCTAGTGGAATTAATATGTCACAGGAAGCCCACCAAATGGCACCAAGTTACTGACCCTGGAGAAACTGCAACTATGGTTGCTCGTTGTTAAGTGCTCTCTTCTTCTAGTGGGCATACAGCAGATGTCAAACTTAAAGTAACTAAGGTATTTAATCAAGTAGGTTCTAGGTACCTTCTCTCTTCTATACCTGTTTGGAAGTGGAGAATTTTTTTTCACTGAATTGAGTGTTAGTCCTTTATATCCAAACTTAATGGTAAGTTTTTCTAAGGATTTCCCAAAATTCTTTTAACTTCTCTGTATGTATGTGGTCTGAGAACTTTGTCTGTGTTATGAGTTCAAGGAGACAAATAGGAATGGCCATACAAGGACATGTCTAAGGACTGCCCAGTTTTCTCACTGGTGCAAGCCATTAGCAGATACATGGAACTGAATGTAGGACTAGACCAAACTAGTAGTGACTGCTCCTTAGAATATTCCCCACCTTCCAAGAAATGAATTTGAGGAGGACCTGTGGAGCCTTTGTACTTAATATCCTTGGGTCTTGGGTTTTTTCCTCCCTTGAATTTGAAGATCATTTTTGGGCCTACAGAAACTTTTGTCATCACCAAACCAGGAAAGATTGGAGGTTTTGTTTGCTCTTGAAATGAGAGTATTTGAAATATGTTTAATTTTTAGTTGTGAATCCCACAAGAATTAAGGAACGGGTAAACAGGTTGCACGAAAGTTTTCTTTGATTGTTTTCTTCTAACCTTTCTTCAGGACCATGGCAAACTTATATGAGGATGCTAATTGGTCACAAAAGTATCTGGAGGATGCAATCAAGGAAGCTCGCAAGCAAGTAACCAAATCCAAGACCTGTTGTTTTTCTTTGGACTGTCTGAAGTACTATTATAATGACCTGATGGAGAGATCTAAAGAAGGACATAACACCTCTTTCATAGACCTTTGGGGGCTTGTAATTGAATCCATGCTACATGATAAGGTATTACTCCTTTTTTTTCCACAAACCCATTGAACTTCTATAGCTACTAGGAAGAAGAAAATAAATCCTGGGATGCTATTCAGTACTACTAATGCAAATAATTAGTTTAGTAGTTGATTAAATATTATATATTCAGATCTATTTTTAAAGCACTACTGTTGTTATGAAGAAAGGTTGACCTTGAACTGAAGGAGCCAGGGCATAGCAGTTAAAGGTGTTTTTTCTCCTTAAAGAAAGAAGATTCCTGAGAAAAAAATATTTTTAATCATAAAAAAAATCACTTTGGACATTAAATATTCTCACTAGAAGAGGCACTTAAAAATTTGAAATAATTTGCTTCTCTAGCATAAATGAAGATATGCATTTATAAAGTGACCTAGTATGTGACATATGGAGATGTTTCAAATAGTGGGAAAGACCATTCTCTAAGTATGATATCAAGTTTTAAGAAAGAGTGATAGAAATCTTATTACCTTAAAAATAGTATATCTTAAATAGTTTCCATCTTGTTTATGTTTATACAAGGAAGTTTTAAATTGTCATGTGCAACAGAATATATTCTTGCATACGCATATACTTGCAAACTATCTTAAAATACGATGAATTCTTTGCTAAGACCCAGCCAAGGAAAGAACCTTTCTTTCCACTTGCCAGCATAATTTTTCCTGGAAATGTTTTTTGAGTTCTTTTCTTGATGAATCTCCAATCAACTTTTCTGCATATATCAAAATCTGACATCCCATATAGGGTGTAGCTGCTTCTTGTGGGATATTTGCCAAGTTTGGAATATTCCATGGCAGGTATTTCTGAGCAATCCAGTGAGCTGGGAATGGGAATGGGGAACCTGGATAAAGCTGATAATTCACATTATTTTATTTCAAGTGTAAGTTGTTTTTCACCTCGTTCCGTTAACTACTTTTAATCAAAACCAGAAAGATGAGCACAGACTTTCGGACCAACGGCAGGCAGTGGATAATGGTCAAAACCCATTGCCCATCTATGTGGCCATCAACCTCAAGTCCAACTATAGTGCCCAGGCATTCAGAGGTAATGGTTATGATTTAGATTTCTTATCAACTTTATAATTTAAGTAATCCAAACTTAAATAATATGCACATAATCAGCTTTAATAGTACAATAGTTCTTTCACTCCAACTGCAAAAAAACCCCTCAAATCCCAAACAACAATTAAAATTTCAAATAATAATGACTAAAACTAAAACCAACCAAACAAACAAATATTAAGTGTCTAGCATTTGAGTTCTTTATATTGCCAGAATTGGAAACATGGTTTTACCACAGAAGATGTCCAAGTCACCATTTATCCTGTCACAAAAACCTTGTAATAAAACAAATTCTTATGATGGTTCCACATGGTCTTGTTTTGCACAGTGAATGGGAAAACTTTGAATTTTTGGGTCCAGTGTCAGGAAAATCTCCATTACTATTAGTTTTCATAGTATTTGTTTAATATGAGCATCTGAATACATGATACCAAGTGAATACTGAGCTCTCTGTCACTAGACCCCTAAAGAGAACAAGTTATATATGAGCAATACAAACTTCTGGGTAAGATTAACTGCATTAAGGGGCCAGGGCTTTTCTGCTGGAGATTGCTGTATCACATCCAGGGACTGCCCTCCCATGATGTGGAAGGACCTTATGGCATCAGTACTGCAAGCAATACAGATACAACTATACCTGGTGAAGGGCATATTATGAACTAGCCAGTGTCCTTCTCACTATTTGCTTTCTAGTATTCCTCTGTTTAGCAATAGCTAACATATTACTGCCTTTTCATGGTCTGGCTGCTGTTACCATAGAGTGGCTGGAGTTCACTCCCTATGAAGTTGGTTTCCTGAAATATGGAGCATCTATTCAAGCAGAACATTTTGGAAGTGAATTCTTTATGGGAAGGATGGTGAAGAAGCTCTCAGAGACTCGAATCTGCTATATGCAAGGTGACTATTGCCTAGGGGGAAAGGTGGTCTACTTGAGAGACACCTGGCACTAGTGAGTTCATGGTCTGTGGTGGGCAGCACTGGAAAGACATCAGCAAACAGGTTGAGCTAGTGCGAGTTTACATTAGCAGGGACATACTTAGGAAATATGCCCGTGAAGGTATCCATACAGACAGAAAGGAAGTATCCAAGTGGAAGAACTGAAGGTATGTATCAATTAAAATTCTTCCAAGGCTACTCCATCAATCAGCTTCTATTCACTCGTTCATATTACAGGCATGTGGAGTAGTATATTTTCCATAGATGTGATGTATGTCTGGAATTTGGCTGCTGATTCAGAGGACTTCTGGTGCAGATGGACCAGAGACAGAGTAAAAGACATTGGTGAGATTTTTAATTTTTTTTTCACCACCAGTATATATTGCTTATATTGTGTGAAGATGTCTGATGCATAAAGAAATATCATCAAAGTCAGAGAGAAAAAGATGAAGAAAACAAAGTAGAGATATCAACTATGATTTTTTTTCTGCCTGATTTAGAACTAAATTATCCTTCTTTGGCAAAGATGTTCCTTTTTCTAAAGGTCACAGAGACACAGAAACAGTCCCCAGCAGACATGTAGAAGTCATGTTGTATTAAGAACATATCTTAAGACTGTTAAATTAGGGTATGTTTCTCCTTGGCCACTAATAATGCGTGTAGAGAAAATAGCTCTTGCAGAGGGCTGTTTTCTTGACTAAACTGCCCGTGGAGAAAGCTCGCTCTTGCTATTAATTGCACGGGGACCCTGGAGTGGCTGGTCTTCTAAGGTAGCTGATATTGCAGCTGAGTGATATTCACATTCAGAAGGTGTCTTGTTCAAAGGCCAGTGTTGTCTTTCTGTGTGTTTTGGGACTCATCTCTCCCCTCTATCACACATTACCATAGAGGCGGGCATCACTTGAGGAAGTCTAGAGTGGGAGTTGGGGCTGACTGCCTGGCAGCCCGATGCCTGCAGGTATTTGTCATTTAATTCACTGTCTAATGCTGAGTTTTATTTGGTAGCATAGACCTTAAGGGCTTATAACTATGTTTGATTTACCTTTGGGGCGAGGGAAGGTGATTACTGTTGGTATTAGTCACTCCATTTTTTTAAAATATTGATCATTTCAGAAAACCATCCTAAACTTAGAACTTCTCCTTTCCGTCTTGCAGCAGAAGAACCCTTTCTGTCCATGAATCCCTATGAAGTGGACACGTGTCTATTCACTCCCTCAAGCGTCCTCTCCTCTGCTCTGCGAGATGTCTTAACAGGACGCCCAACCATTGCACAGTACCCCAATTTTATCAGAGGCTTCCAGCTGCATAACAAGTACCTGGAGAGTGAAGGATTTTCTACCTGGAAAGGCACAGTAACTCAGCATGTTTTTTAGTAGTATTCTAAGGAGGTTTAGGTTTTGGAATTCATTTAGGTTTTCCAGCAAAGAGGAAGAGACGAGGCTGACTTCTGACATTCCACTTCTCCCTTCTACAATCGAAAAACACATAGCCAGTTTTGAATAGCATTTCAATTTTGGGGTGTGTGTTGAAGGGGAAAATTGTATCTGATTGTATTGTGTTCCAGCAGACAAGTTGAGTTTAGCCTAAGGAGGCAGGAGGGATCTCCCCTTCAGGGCCATAGCAGCTTATGGTGCCCAGGAAGGAAGGAAGGAAAAAGCAGTAGTGTGACACTCCTGTAAATCAGTACTGCTAGAGTCAAAGGAAGGCAGAGGCAAGGTGGGACAAAATTCTCCATTCTTCCCTTTTTAACTTTCTTCAGAGGAGCAGACAATCTTGTGTTTTATTTGTTGTAATGAAAAATATTTATGTTTCAGACACAGTGATAGACTCCTTACCAAATAAATTGATGGAAACAGCAGACAATGAACTCTCCCTGGTTGATACTGGCTTTTTCATTAATACCAGCTACCCACCACTTTTGAGATCAAAGAGGGAGGTGGACGTCATCCTACATTTGAATTACAGTGGAGGGTCCCAGACACTGGTAAGAAAAGCCATGGTAGCTGAGATATTCATGGTGTTTTTGTTTCTAGAACTTGACAGATAAAATACCTAACTTTTTAGTATTGGAATGGGAATTCGATCATTAATATTGATTTATTATTTAGATCATCAAGCAATTTATTTCTCAGTAACTAAGAAAAATATTAGAAGACAGTGATGGATTATAGGCATTTTAAAATCATCAAGGTCTTCACTGCAGTGGGTTCAAGAGTTTTGAAGAGCTGATGGAGAAGTGTTCTGGTACTCTGATACTGATTTTGCAAAAGCAAAGACCCTGACAATATTTTAACAAATTAAATGAGAAAACCTATGTGTCTTGGCCTCTTTATCTCATATTAGCCTTAGGGAAATGTACTGGCTGATGCCAGACGTGATTAATAATTAAAATTAATATAGGTACTGTTGCATATATAATGAGAATAATATAAAAATAAACATAGGTTTATAGTAAATATAGCTGTTAATTATTTTTTTCATGAGGTCATAAGGTATGTTGATAAATGTATTTGTTAATAGGGAGTCATTATCAAGCAATTACCAATTACAGAGAGGACAGAAAGACTGGGAAAGTGGTAAATAATGAAGATATCAAGACAATGATACAGAAAAATCTGGACTGATGTGTTTCATCTCCATTCTTGCAGTTTCTTTGCCTTCCCCTTCTGAACCTGTTTCACTGGAATTATGAAATTAGTCCTGTGGCTTTTGGCTTCATTTTCAAGTTCAAAGAAAGAGACTGTTTTCTTATTTTGCCTAAAGCAATGTGGAAAATAAGATAAGCTGCAATGTCTGGTGTGGTTATGGCTATTTCCATCTTGCCAGAGGAAGATTCAAGCCTTAAAATACTCCTGTTAGCTACTAGCTGCTGGGATTCAAAATATCCAGGTCTCTGGATCAGTTTTGATTTTTTGTATTAATTTTATTTATTTTATTCATTTATTCAGCCTCTGGATCAGATTGCGAAGTACTTTTTGGGGCAAGGAATTCCATTTCCCAAAATTGAGATAAGTGAGGAAGACAGGGAAAACTTGAAGGAGTGCTATGTGTTTGAAGATGCTGACAGTCCACAAGCTCCAACAGTGCTTTTTTTCCCTCTAGTAAATGACACCTTCAAGAAATATAAAGCTCCTGGTGAGTCATCTGTGGTAGCAATTTTAATAAAAATTCTTTTTTCCAGTGAGTCCTCTCCATTTCATGTCTAATGTCTCACTATCATATTTTACTGCTCCAATGTCAGCATTATCGGTCTCATCAGTGAAAAAAAACAAACCCAAACCTGGTCTGTGTCAGTATGTCTGAATTATCTGAGCTCCAGAGGCTTTTCTGAATACATTTGAGATGGGTATAGGCAATTATTTCACAGGAACTACTAGGGAGAGTATGAAGGTAAAAACCCCAAAATATGTATACCATGGGTGGTAGGTCCTCCACACAAGCTATTTTACTCTACAGACATGGGCTTGTTATGCACTGCTGATTGCAAACAAAGATGAGGCAAAACCTTCTGGTGGTTTTGGTGATAAACCCATTCACCTGGGTTTTGTTCATGTATTTAAAAGTAGTCCCCCAGATTGAGGACTGAGTGGACAGAGCTCTTCAGTTTTAATTTGAATGATGTCCTCTGTGTGAGTGCAATAATTTCTTCTGAACTTTCAGTGAGAGGGTTGTTATTTTATCTAGTACAGGTGTATCATGTTCGCCTTTTGCTTGTGCTTTTCTGGTTTGGGTAACAAAGACTATGCAGTGGTCTAGCATTGCTGCAGCTAATGTTGTTCTGATTCCCACCTGTTTGGGTGATGTAAATGTCAAACGATGTAAAATCATATTTGGATACAGGCTTGATCCAGATGCTAAAGAATACAGCGCTACTAGGTTACTTTTACATCCCTCTGGCAAATTATATCTTTCCTTCCATATCTCCCTTTTCTACCTATAATTATGTAAATGACTGACAGGAGCCACATGCTGCAATAAAACCTTATTGGTGCATCTCCTTGTGGTTTGTCCCTCAGGTGTGGAACGGAGTCCTGAAGAGAAGGCTGAAGGCAAAGTTGATGTCTCCAGCATCCTCTCACCATTTACAACAAGGGAGGTGTGTTTCAGTGAAGAAAATTTTGACAAACTGGTGAAACTGACTGATTACAATGTCTTGAATAACGAGAAGTTGATTATTCAGGCCTTGCGCTTGGCAGTGGCACGGAGGAAGCAGCGGAATTATTAGCCATCACACACTGGCTTTAACTTGCTGTATGATATTTCTTGGGTTGTCTATGGTTTGGTAAGATCAAGATGTTTGACGCTTGCCAGTTATACTTGCAGTAGAAATCACATCATCCTAAGGACATGCTGGACTCCACCCTATTTACACAGCTGTTCAGGCAAACAGACTGGAATTTAGCAGTGGTTTCATACAAAACAAACTTCAAAGCAGCAGATTTGGTTTTAGTTTTGTTACCTTGTTACTTTAACAATTGTTATATATAGTTCATATAAATTATTATAATGTTGTGTAAGACAATGAAATATGTTGAACATTAAAATGTGTATCAAAACAGTATTTACATGGTGGGTTTTCCATTTGACAGAACAGCAATCCCTCAAACTGGAATTTCTTTGGTAAATAACTAATCTGTTGTACTGGTCCTGCTTATCTTCATTATTGAAGGTTGTCATCTCTGATTTGATTGTCTGTCCCCTGTGAGGTTTTTATTTAGCTGTCTTTCCTCAGTAATCCTTTAAAATAAATTTCTTAAGTTATTATCACTCTTGTAAAATCTATCAAGTTTTCACCACCAACAAAAAATACCCCTGGATTAGGTAATTTTTTTTTCAGGAGATAAACAACTGAGCTCCTATTCACAGAACCACTTATATTCAGCCTAAGCAGTAGACATATTGCCCAGTTTTACTTCAGTTTTCTCCTGGACTCTTTGCTGACTGTCCTATCTCACTCATCTTTACTTGCCTTGACTGCTCCTAAAGGATGGCCTTGCAATTTCTTCCAGTGTTTCATGAGGTGGGAAGTGGCTGTCAGCTGTTTGCATAGAATAAGGCAATGCAGGAGAGCCTTTTGAGATCCCTTCCAGACATATTGTTTTACATCTGTTCAACACTTACGGACAAATGGTCTTCGCAGGGATTGTCCTGAAAGAGTGGTTTCTCATCATCAAAAATCCTAGAGTTTTTCTTGGGGAAGGTGGACTCTCACAGTTCTGCAACAGACAGATCGTGAGCTCAGTCTTTCACAACAGCACCCTTGCACTGCGGAGCTGTGATTCATGAAGAGATTATTCACAGCAACTCGGAAAATGTTTTGGATTATCTTTCTTTTGTTAATAAAAGGTTCCCATTGTTGCAATGAACTTCAGACAGAGTCATCAGGGCAGAATTAGTGCTGAGATCAGAAGAGTCTTGACTATGCTCGAAAGTGACAAATTCGTTTTTATGGAATGAAGTTCTAGGTAATGGATGGGGGAAAAAAACCCAGCTGACAGTGGGTCTTAGAAAAAATTGGGTGGTGGAAGAGGATGAGTGGGCAATGTTTTTCACTTATGAGCGTGTTCATTGTGTTCGAGCTCCTGAAAAAACTTGTAGGGGCATGGTGTAACCCTGTTTTTAGGTACAGTATTGTATGTTTAAATCTAGTTATTATCCCTCCATGTGTGAGGCAGCTGTAATTGTGGTTCTGCTCCAATACACTAGATTATCAACTCATGTGATCCCTCTGTGTCCTTTCTAGAGATATATTTGAGATTAGTGTCATAATTTCCGAGAACTTTTTGCTGGAAATGAAACAGAGCAGAATGGAGGATGTTTCAGTCTGTTTCACAGGGGAAACTTACTGACGGAAAAAAGCCAGGCAGGTGTAGAATGTAGCCCGAGCCTGATTAACATGACTTTTCATTGTGTCCAGCTGGCTGATATGAAACCTGCCTTTCCCTCTCTGAGAGAGTTCCTCTTGCTCTCCAGATGATTCTACAGCTCTTCAGTTTCCCAGTGTTTCAATATCTTCTTTTTGAAACAGAGTGCTAGTGACTTTTTTATATATATATTTAATTTCAAGATCATCCATAAAAACATTTAGGCTTATAACTGAGCTTTTGCCAAATCTCTAGGAATATTTTCCTTCCTTTGACTGCTGCTTTTTGTAATCTGTTATTTAGCCTTCCTTAATGTGTTCAAAGTTTATCTGAGTGACACTTGTTGGATCTAGTTCTTAAGTTAGAATATCACAGAGTACCAAATGTTCTAGGAAATTAAAATTCTTTCATGTCCATGAAATTGCCTTTATCAATCAGTTTTCAATTCATTGAAAAGTGAAATGAAATTATTTTGAAATTGATTCCTCTGATAATTTTCATAATAGCAAGGATTATTTAAAAAACAACCCTCAAACTCCCATTTTACTTCTTGTGTGCTCACTTTATGTATTCCCTCACTGAGGTAGGAACCACCTCAAATGATGTGTACTGTCCTGCACAGTGAAGCCTTATAAATGTGAAGACATAAAGAATACGTGAGAATATGAAGAATAATTAACATTCATTTCAACATTAATTTCACTCTCACAAATGTATCCTCTTGGAGATCTTGGAGATCACTGAAACACCTTAATTTGGATGCAAAAAATAATAAAATTTTTGAGAAAGTGAGTGAGCTTTTAAAGCTTTTTCTTTGTAAAGAAAATTCTATTACAGTTTCAACAGGTGACTTGGGAATTGTTTCATGTGATATTTGTCACTGCAATATCTGTTTGGTTGAAAGACAGTTTACTGCTTGAGTTTAGAAGAACGGAATGTGAGACGGGGACAATAAAACTTCTTTCAGATATGTCTTTAAGCAAAAACCCACCTACCCCCTATAGGCAGTAAAAACTACAAAAAGTCTTTTGTTTGACCATTGGTTTGTTCAGATGTTCTTGGCTAAAGAAGTTCTTGTTGCCCGTTCCTGGGCAGCCAGATGGAACCTGGCTGGTTCTAGTCACCTTCCCACAAGAGGCTGCAGTTTGACAAGCTCTCCTGTGTACCAAAAAGTGATGAGGATGCTGAAAAGTAACATTTGCTCAGTGCCTATAACTGTGAAGACCCCTTTTCAGTCTCGATTTCTCTGTAACTACAGCAGCAAAGACCATCCTTCTGCAGTGCCAGAGGCTGGGTGTCTGCGCTTTTGTGCAGGTGTGCAGCGTGCACTCACGTTCCGGGCAGCCAGGAGTAGGAGGAGGGAGAGGAGGAGTCGGGAATTGCTCAAGTGGTGGTGGCGGGGTGAGGCTACGCTGAGTCAAGCACTAACTCACCTGCCTGCCTGCTCCCGGCAGCCTAAAGCACAATAAGTCCTCTCTACCCATCCACCTACACCTTTCACACCTGGCTCAGAGGCAGAAAAGACCACAATGGGACTGTTCTACAGCAAAAGTGAGGTAAGAAAAGGCAAGAGGAGGCTCTGTAATGAGCTGAGCTGGCTGTCCATTGGTGGCAGATGGGACCTGCTGTAGGAGGTGGTGTTCGGCCTCTTGCAATTTGCTCTGAGAATTCTTCTTCACCAAAGCTGAGAGCAAAGCAGGGCTGCTGTCTGGGCTTTGTGACTACTTTGTGTTTTGACCTTCAGGAATGCAAAGACTTTAATGATGCAGTAATTTATCTATTTTGAAAATCCCCAATTAGAAAGAAAAAAAAAGATACCTTTTTGCTTCCACTGAATGAGGCTAGGCAAAACAACCCACCGAGGAAAAATAAGTAGTTATCATTAATGTCAATGAGTGCATAGGAAAAGTCAGGAAACTAGTATTATATGAGATGTTAAATATAGTTCTCTTAAATTTGTGGCAGTTTTGGGGTATAAGGGAATGAATGATAAGACATTGCACATTTTTATATATTTATCTATGTATTTCTTGCTGCAATACCCCCTGCTCTGTAGGTAGTGTGCATGAAATGTCTCTTATGTGTGTTTGTTGCTTCACTACTTATTCTCTTTCCTTTTTACTCCACTTGTTTTTTGGTGTAGTTTTGTTGGAGTTTTTTTAGGGTTTGTTTGTTTGTTGTTTGGATTTTGTGTGTGTGTGTGGGGGGGTTTGTTGTTGTTGTTGTTTTGGGGGTTTTTTTGTCATTTGGATCATTAAATGTGCAGGTTTTCCTCCTTTTATTCCTTTAAGAAGGATACTTATCTAGGGAAAAAAGTACCTCACCTTCAGCTCCTGTATATTCATTAAGTACCCTGCTTGTCTGATCTTTGCTTAGGCTGAGAGAGGACGACAAAAACAAACCAGTTTCCTTGCAGGTTTTTAAAATGTCTTTTGATAACTACTTAGGTTTAAGTGGTTTCTCAAAATTAGAATCATATAATGGCTTGGGTTGGAAGGAACCTTAAAAATCATTTAGGTCCACCCCCCTCGCCATGGGCAGGGTTGCCACCCACAAGACCAGGTTGCTCAGGGCCCCATTTTGTCTGGCATGGAACACTTCCAGGGATGGGGCATCCACAACTTCTCTGGGCAACCTGTCCCAGTGCCTTGCCACCCTCTGGGTAAAGGATTTCTTCCTAATATCTAATGCAAATCTCTTCTTTTTTAGTTCAAGTCTGTTGCCCCTCATCCTATCACTATCTGTAAAAAATGCGCTCTCCCTCTTTTTTATAACTCCCTTTAAGTACAGGAAGGCTGCAAATATTTCCTTTGATACTTTCCTGAGAGTTTTGCTTAGAGGAAGATTGGGTGAGCCAAATTATTCAGAGAGAAATAACTACAGAGTTGGGGCTCTCACTCAGCCCTTCTGAGAAGTTTGGGATGGGTCTCTAAAAGGCACTTTTCAGGTCCTCATTGTTTAAAACCCAGCACTGCTCTACATCAAGATTGGTATTATGTAGCTATAAATCAACTTATGAGCAGCATTGTTACACCACGATATCGTTACTAGTTCCTGCCCTGCTAGATTGTTTGCTGTTCGTTGTGTAATATAGTGGATATATACGACATTCTGTGAATTTTCACAGACCAAGATGTATGTCAGCTGTACTATTAACACAGCAAGGTTCTCTATCACGCATTTCTCTGAGACTGGTTGTAAGAGTCAGACACGTCAAACTAAGGGTTACCACAAGTTTTCTCAGATTGGGAAGTGGACAATATCAGAGGTTTGGTCTGTTATTGTACATTTTGTGTCTGTGGCCACACCTAGTTACAACCTTCTAGGAAGAAGAAGACAATACTCAAGGAAGGACCTCGATTTAGAAATGTTTTTGTTGATTGGAACTGAAACACTTAATTCAGTGTTGCCTTTGACTATGCTTCTGTTCTTCCTTTCTGCCTACTCATCCTATGCATTTTGTACTTTTCAACAGACAGAACCCTCTCCATGCAACTTGCTTACTGTAAAAGTCATACAGATGAAAAATGCCAGGAAAGCAGACTTGTGTGAGTATCTTTGGAGGAGCATCCTCGTGCTTGTAAAGCTACTCTGAATATTACCAAGTGTCGCAAACACTACAGACTATTTATAAAAGGAGAGAGACATCAGATGTGTGATCATGGTATGCTGAAGATGAGGTAGCGCACTCAGAAGATATTATTTATTCTTACATACTTGCCAATACAACACTGAAGTCTAGCCACCAGTTGTAATGCAGAACATGTTTACATAGAATGGATAAAATGTTTCACATCTGAATCTGCAAATAAATTTTCTTTTGTTCACAGGAAAGATTGCAATGAGAACTTCCATTCTATGGTTCCTTCTTACAGTAATATCTAGCCTGTGTAACCCTGGGCCTATCACAGGATATTTTATGTGGGCTCAGGGCTGCATACTTGACAGCTTATGGACTGTCAAATTTGATTCAGCCATAGGCATAGCCATGTTTCAAAACTTAATTGAGGGCTCACAATTAGCTTTTTCTATTCTTAATTATTTTTACAAAATGCCCAGGAATATAGTTACATAAATGTTTATTAATGGTCCATAAATACCTGAACTGCAGAGCACTAGAAAAAAAGCTGTGAATGACAATCACCTCCAGTCTGAGGAGGTGACTGATTTTGTCTTGCATCTGTTCATTTATGCAAAAGGTCTGAATCCAGAAAGTTTGTATAGGAACAGGACAAAAGTAAAGTTGTTCAGTTAAAAAGATGCAAGACAAGATATCTTTTTGTACCTTTCTAATGTGATTTGCTTCAAGTTCTGTGACAATTTTTCTAGAGACCATGCAAAGAAGAGTTTCTCACTCCAATATTTATTGAAGAGCAGTAAGATACTTTGTTGATGTTGAATGTATGGGGAAGAAGAATCTGTATGAACCTTCCCACTGGAATACTTCTACAGCATAGAAAGGAGATTTGAAGCTCAGTTATAGTCTGGAGAGAAATCCCCTGCTACAGCTAAAACCTACCTGAATGTTCAAATATGCACACTGAACCGAAAGAGCGAGCTGTGGAAAACTACAGCCCTTAGGTATCTCCCCAGATAATCATGTTCTATTAAACCATCTGCATGATAATGAACTTACCAAACTTCCTCTCCACCTTTTCCTCATCTAGATCAATGCTTCTTGAAACTATTTTTATTCTGAATGGAGTTTACTATGTTTTGATGCTGTCCTTTACAACACTAGAAAGCTTCTAGAACATGGGACAGGTACTGAAATGCTCAGGCATTTCTGCTTCCCAAGTCATATCCCAGCAGCCCACAAAGCTTTTTAAAGGAGCATTTAGAATGACGGATGTGATTTTGTAGTCCAGCACAGCATCTGAAGCAGCAGTAAAGCCACAACATGGGCTTTCCAGGCTGAGGCTGTAACCTGACACTGTGAAGCATGTTTTGCCCACAAAACAGAATAACAGACATTCACCACCAACATTGGCAAGCTATCCTCTCTTTGAAATGGAAGTATCAGTCAAAATATTGAGGAGAAAAAAGAATTTGAACAAAGAAAACAGAAAAAAATGCTTGCAAAAGGTGAATGCTTTGCTTGTTGTGGACATTCATCCTGTGGGAAAAGAAAACCATACCAGTCAGGGCACACTGCCTTGCTTATTTTAAATGTTGAATCTAGTTTTGACTGACAGCTGCTTAATTCCAATAACATTTGATTTTACTGAGCATAAAATTTGTGAGCAGTATTTACCAGAAAGATTTCCTTTAAAGCTGTTTGAGGACATGTTTTTCTGTGCGACCAGGCTTGTAGAAGTCTTACATTTGATAGTCTGTTTATCATATAAAATAAGTCTATATTTCAAAAGTTTTAATGAACTAATTTAATCTCTGCCTAATTTTATGGACAAGGTAAAAACTAGTACAAGTTACATATTTATAACTTTATAGGACTTTCACTGAGAAGCAGCAAAATGAGAGTCTTGAGATAAAAAAAAAATGTACAAAATTTTCCTGGTTTTTTTGTAAAACTGGGGGAATATTGTTGAGTTGATTCATTCATCTTTACAGTTCTCTAGAGATGAGCTTGACACAGCCTTGCAAAACTTAGAAGCATGTGGCCCTCCATCACAAGTGAAGTGGACTTCTTTACAGTACCATTTTCCTAACACTGATTTTTTTTCTAATTCTTTCTTTTCCCAGCTCTTTTTTTTTGTTACTTTCCTTTTCTTGCGAAGTTTTGTAGATAGAACAGGTTGTCAAGTGTCACCCATTTTTTCAGGCACCTTGTTGATTTTTGATGTTTTAAACTGCTTCTTCTATCTCTTGCCAGTTGTGCCCAACCTTGCACTAGATTTCTGTAGAGTTTTTGGATCACTGTTTAATACTCATATAGTGTCTAAATAGTCTCCCAACTTGGTGCTGAAGTTTGACTTGACTGTTGGTCTATCTTCTCCATTTTCTAAATAATGGAGATGGGAAAATTAATCCATAACAAGAGAATCTCAAAACCTCACTAACGTTCCTATGGAATAGATAACAGAAGACTTCTAGTGGAAGTTCAGTGCTTAAAAGAATATTTTTATCTAAGACAACTTAAATTGTTTCATTCCGCCTTTTAAACCCTGACTTTTTAATGCACCATTGCACTATTCTGTGTTTTCTTCCCACTCATCCCTCAGTGTGTAATTTATAATAATAATTTCCACTTGTGTATTGATGTATAGCTGATATCATTGATAAAACCTGTTAATTTAGTTAATTTGTTTGTGTTCTCCACATTACTGTCTCCCACTGAGCACACCCATATCCCCATCAGGCTCATTAGGCCTCTTGATATTCCTGGACCTGTGAACACTTGCCAGTTCCCAGATTTGGGTGTGTGTCCCCTCTGCATCCTAACTCCCTAATGGGGTGAGACTTTGATGTGCACCAATCCAACCCACCCTTAAAAACACAGCTTTCTCTGCAGAGAACTTCAGATTTCAAACTCAGCCTCTCACAGACCTCGGACAACCACCACAGCTCCAGAACAAATAGAAGGACATGGCTTTTTGTTTGGGAACTCCCCTTGGTAGGAGATGACAAATGCTGGAAGTTTATGTGAGTTTCAGGTGGAAACTGGACAAGTCTGTAGAATAAAAAAATCCAGTGAAGGTTGGCTTGTGAAGTCTCTGAATCTTAGATTGTGAGGGCTGAGTGAGCATTATATGATGTTTACCCTCTTATACTCTTCCTTAGACACCCATCACTAAATGTGGGGCATATTTACTTCTGGCAGTGGTGGCCAACCTTAACAAACCAAAGGTCCTTCCCCCCAAAAAAAAAGAAGTCAAAGGGACTAAAGAACAAGATACTGCAGAGAAACTAAATCATTAAGTGAAATTAACAAATGCAAAAGAAAAGACAACAGAGTATTAAGGGTATAAATAAGGTAAAAGCAGGCAACTGGATGGGGATACTGAGCTGAGCAATTTTAAGCCATCATTTCCTGCTTCCTGGAAACATCCAAGATCCCTCAGTGGCTGCTGCCTGTGGGCCCTAGACTAAAGGAACCTTGACTGGTGTTAAAAATATTCTTCATCATTTTCTTAGTAAGAAAATGATATTTTTTAAGCTTTTATGGATTTTTTAATTATACTTTTTAATTTTGGAAATTTAAAGTTTTAGATTTTTTAATATAAGACATTAATTTGATGCTATATTTTATAATATTATTAAGTATATTTTACATTTTTATAAAAACATTTTTTTTACAGGATTGTAGTAGCAGTTCTGCCACAGATCAGTTTGTGCAAAGGCCCTTGAGATCCTGAAAAGAAATATAATCAGTGAAATACATTAGTGTTTGAGGGACTACGGTCCAATGTGATACTTATTGCAGGAACCTGCAGACTTCCTCTGGTGTTCTGTTCTTGTGCTGTTCTTATTGTTTCGTTGTTATTTATTACTTACTTCACCATTTAAGCACTTACAATTATGCATCAACAGCCTATTGTTCTAGGTGCTGCATGAAATATATTTATAATATCAGAGGATGTGGACTGATAAAGCCCAACAAGGGAAAAACCAGGAAAGAAACAGTAAGGTTGTTTAGCAACATCTCAGCAAAGGGGTGTTTTAAGGAGGGGTGTAAATGAGACTACTGATACTGCTTTAGGGATATTTATAAGGTGCTCCACCCAGTGTGAAGGGCAGGGTGGAAGAAAGTGTGGAAGCTTTCTGTTGAAATTTAGCTATTAGAAGATTAATATTGAATGCTCCCTGGAGACAGGAACTGATCTCCCAGGACAGAATGAATTCTAATGGTCTGACTGTAAAGGGCCTTGAGAAGGACGACCTTTACTTTCATGGAAGTAACTCACATTTTTATTTAAAAAAAGAATATAAAAAAGTTTTAATTGTGTAAATTATCTAATATTCTGTGCTCCAGGAAACAGTAATCCTGGCCTGTCCACTTGCCTTCAGCCAGGTATCTACTCACCTACACAGTATGTGAAGAAGAAAAATGCTTCTCTCAGCTGGTGATGATACTTTTTATTTTATGACTTGGATAGATCCAAATCCAGGGAGACCTGATCAAGATGATGATCAGGGCAAACAGTGTTTGAGACCACAGTTTTGGTTCAGATTCTTTCACCAGAATAAGAAAAAAACTATACCATGACAGTAATGAAAAATCTACCCCCTAGAAATAGTGAGCAGCTAAAGGCAGTCCAAGAGGAAAAGATGCTTGAGGCTTCTACCCAGCTTACAGGTGAGCTGGACATTGGATCAAAAAAGGAGGTGGAATGAATAATTTTTTCTTTGTTTAGCCCTGCTTGAATTTGACCTCTCTATGAGACAGGTGAGATTTCATCTTGAGCCAGAATTGCTGGTGCCCTACTGTTTGGGACACAGCATGATGCTGGGGCTATGGTGTTTTGTAGCACGTGTCATATTGCTGTAATGCTTTCTAATGGTAAAGCATAATTAAGATCCAGTCCTGCTATTAAACTGGAAGATAATTAGACATTTAGCATAATAACTGGACGAAGAGACCGTGCTTTCATAAATACCTGCTACCACACCTGCTTTTGGCAGGATATTGCCCCACAGTGATACCACAGCTGCTGCCCCAAGCATGTCTGATGGCTGTTCATGTGTCATGGCTGAGGGGAGGGACACAACAGGTCACTGTTGTGATGCTTTGTTGTCTGCATACTGTGTGAGCGTAATTGTTGTAGTTAGGTGTGGTTAGGCTTACATACCAGGGTGACAATGATTTTCTTGCATGTGGCTGGCAATGGGAGCCTTGTACGCGTACGTGGAAAGGCAATTGGATGTTGTGGAGTGACCAACCAGTTTAGGCGCAGGATATGCTGTGGTGTGCCATTTCTCACATCTGCTTGTACCTGGAACTGGTCAGGCAGAATATGGATCTGAGGTATCAGAGATGTATAAAAAAAGGTTCCTGGGCGTTTTAAGCACCTCCCTCATAACACCTGGAAAATACATCACAAACAAGAAGTAATTAGGTTTCAGAGGACACCTCTCAACTACAAAACACATCACCAAACACATTTGGCAGGTGGGAAGAGGGAAGCGTGCTTGTTTAGTGACTGGGTCAAAAGTGCCCTAGAGAAAGTCGGAGATCTAAATGAGAAGTCAGAGTTCTGCTGTCTGACAGGTAGTTATTTCTTACAGGTGTATGACACAGTGTTGTAGCAGAGAGTGATTAATTACAGAAAAAAAATAATTGATGGACTTCAAAATAGTACTTTTTTTCTTTGCAACAGAGTAGTCAGAGAATGTGTTGCTATTTGGGAAGTGTCAAGGAAATAAACTTTAGTTCACCCATAGCCTTATCCATTTGGGTCCTTCTGGTCCTTCTAGTGGGGACAAGAGCCAACAGCAGTCTGTTCTAATGTCAGTCTGGATTTCCTAAGAGCCAAAAAAGATTTTCATATGGACATTTCCTGTATACACACAGAATTTTGAGAGCTATTAGAATTATTAGAAGGTCAGGTGATGTCTATGCATTTTGATATTTTTGTAGAATTCATATATCTTAGAGTATACAACAACTACTTTCATCAGTCAAAGTAGCTGCTTTTACATTCAGAGTTACTAAAAAAGAAATAAAGATGACTTAAGCCTCAGGGGAGATGGGGTGGGGGTCAGAAAAAGGCTGGCTTTGTTAACCCTTGAGTTGCAGATGGGGAGACAATAAAGGGCCAAGACAATTATTCTGTGTTTCCCCAAATCAGGTCTACCAGTGACAGGTGTGACAAGGTGTGACAAGACTTAAACCTATTCCACTACTATTCAGGTTTGTTTGCTATGCAACAGCAAGAATGCTGAGTACATGGCATTACAAATAGAGGAAATGCAATTCTAATAATGGAACTGGCATTTATGGGCAATACTCCTCATGCTATCTTTGCCACTTGTATATGTTGTCATCCCTAACCAAAAGATTGTGTTCTATAGGGTAATCACGCCTGACTTCTGAGTGTGGGTCCATGGGATTGTTAATCTCATTATTCACATTTGTCTTTTATTTCCTAATAATGATGACAAAATATATTAGCAGGTAGATTATTCTGATCTTAGAATGAAAGTGCTTGATGATATAAGCACTGCAGACTTCTCCTAATGACTGTTTCATACCAAAGCTTTGGTCCTTAATGTCCATCACTTATGGTGGAGCTCAGGTGGAAAGCCCAACCCTACAACTGGCCTCTTCAGCTGAGAAAGGAAAATAAAAAGACTAAAGCTGTCCTCACTACATCTGGGAACATTAAAATTGATAGGGGAACTTTATGACCTGAACTTGCCTCCAGTGGAGGCAAAAGCAATGCAATTTCATGCAAAGAAGCCAGGTCAGGTCTCTCCTTGCTGTGAAACACAGACAAGCTTTCACCTGCACGTTTAGTGTTGCAAATACCTTTACTGTGCTGGCTGAGGCACAGAGATGCAGGTGAAAATAGTGACATTAAGCAATATATATTTTTTATATATATTTTTTTTACCAGGGTTTTACTGGTGAAACCCTGCCTCAGGACAGTTGCTTCTCAAAGCAAATGTTAGCCATCAAACTGTTCAACTTTTCAACGCTTTTCTTATCTGTGCTCATTCTAAACCACTTACAGAAGATTAAACTCAGTTCCTCTCATCTCCACAGCTCTTGAGTTTTTTTCTTGAATTTTTTTGTCTTGAAAATCTGTGCTGTTGAGGTCTATGGTGCACCGTGTGCCCCCTTCTTTAAATTTCCAAAAAGGGAAGAAAACAGAGTGAGAGCAGGTACCTTGGTGGAAGACGTGTCTTCTGTGACAGCAGTGGGGCTTCATGGGAACCTTCAATGCAATGAACACCTATCCCTGCTGCATTGGCAGCCAGAGGTCTCAGAAAAAAGGAAGGATGCTCCAGAAAGTAGAAGAGACAAAACATAAATCTAGAGCTACTCTAGACATACTAAGGCATGCTCATGTCTACCTGTGGAAGCCCAGTGCATAGAAGATGGACTCTGTCCATTTGGTAGCCTCTATCACAGCTGCTAAGGTGCACGGTGCTCAGCTCTGTGATACTGCTGTGTATATGGGCCCATATGCATATGGATGGCTTTTCAGCAATGCAATTGCATATTTTGAGCATTTGTTATTTTTCCAGGAATTTAGAAAAAGTAATTCTCAAGACAGCACACTGCCAGGCTTTCACAATAGTAAAGCAAGATAGTTGTCTAGCAGTGGCCTGATGGTACCCCAGTTAGCTTGTTGGTCTGCATTCTGTGTATTGCTTTATGTACTGAGCTTAAAAATTCACACAGTGCACCACCTTATGAGGTACTAGGTTGTTTCATTGATCCATTGTTTTCCTGCTTTCCCTCTCTTCAACAGTAACTCAGTCTGATTGCTATGTGAGCCTGAGCCTGCCAACAGCTTCAGTGCAGCATTTCCGCACCAAGACAGTCCAGAACAGCAAGAATCCAATGTGGAATGAAACCTTCCACTTCACGATTCAGAGCCAGGTTAAGGTAAGAGTGCAGATACCTCTAGCTATTCTTACCATATATCAAACACACCATATAGCCCTTCCATTCTGTGGGGCTTTCTGAGTTCCCTTGAGAAGTATTCACACCCTCTTGCTGTGCCTATTTAGCTTTTGATGGCTGGGTAAGACCGTATCTGCCTGCATAGCCAATAAAGTATGTAGAGAGCAACTGCAGTGTTTGTATTTTTTCATTCTTGAAATTCTTTGTCAACTTTGTTCAGGTAAAATGAAATATCTGTAGCATGTTATGTCTGTTAAACCTTTAATATTTAATTAATTAATTAATTAATTAATTTTTATTCCAGAACATTCTGGAACTAAAAGTTTGTGATGAGGACAATGTAACTCAAGATGACCATCTCCTCACTGTATTCTTTGATGTCTCCAAAATCCAACTTGGGGAAAACATTCAGCTAAGTTTCCAGCTAAATCCACAGGTATGGATAAATTTCAAGGACAAAGAAAAGGGGGTGGAGTCAGGTGAGAATATGAGTAGCTCAGCTTTTCCTCTTATGTGTCCTATACAAGCCTTTCTCACTGTCCATACCTGAGTATGTCCGTCTGTTTCAGGGGTTCATACCTGCAGTTGTTTCTGTAATTATGGTAAATTTTGGATGGTGCTTCTCTAGAAAGAGCTGGCCAATGTAATTGGACTTAATTATCTGTTTACTGTCCTTGATGTCAAAATGAGTTTACCCCATTAGTTTTGCAGTTGTAGCTGGTGGTTTTGAGCTCTGTGTTATGTTTTGCTAATACAAAAGTAATGATCTGCAGTCATAAACCCAACCCCAATATGACTTTTAGCTAATTTAGAAAATGAACATAACACTTGCAGAACTGAATTATTAAAAAAATTGTGTTTTTCATCAGATCTCAGTTTCATGTGGTTGGGACAACTTCATACTAAAGTTTCGAGGGCAATGTTTAGGCCTAGAAGGACTTGAGTGAATGTTGATTTGATTTGATGCCTGTTTTGGAAAGGCTGGCTCTCTGTGCCATGTTCTCCTTAGTGCTTACACTGGGAGGGCAAGAAGATAATGGGAATTGCACAAAGGCCTCTAAAGAAAATCTCAGGGACAAGCAATTACAAAAGATAAAGATGAGCACACAAAGAGTCTATGTGTACAGACTCCACCAAACCAAAGTGCACCCTCCAGAACACCCTGGGCTTCATACAGCCAAGTGTGCCACCATGTTGATGTGCCACCAGGCCCATCTGCATGAATGAGCGAGGGCTGGGAGAAGGTCAGAATGATTTGTATGAACTGGAGAAATCCACTTTCACACATACTAAGAATCAGTGGGGAGTGTGAGAACCCATGTGAGGAGAAAGAAAAGGGGAAATCTAAGCGGCCTGTGAAATAGTGCAGGTGGGAGGTGGGAACCCAAGACCGCAGAAAGGGGGAGCAGCCACCAAGAGGCCCTATAGTATGTATTGCATGTGTCCTGCAAAGGTCTAAACTAGGAGTTTGCTAAATTAATGGACATGATGCTAGAAGTATGTGATACTTGAAGTATCCAAATACAACATGAATAAAATTGTGGCATATGCAGTAACAAGAGGTGGACACTGGCTTATAGAGAACTCTGAAGAGCACAGATTCCTGTAGGGTATCTCTCTTCGCAGGGAGACCAACATGCTGTGACTGTCTTCGTTTTCTTTTACAGGGAAAAGAGGAGCTGGAGGTTGAATTCACGATGGAGAGCAGGTGCGTGAGGTGAAATAGGCAACAAAATGTAAGGCGGAGACATGAGGTTACTGATAGAAAGCATAGTTTACACATGCAGCCCCCTAACACTGTCACCATCTGAATAAAGCAGAGTGATTTGTGTGTTCAGGAAACGCTTGTGTAGAGCATTTAATGGAGAAGGGGTGCATGACCATGCATGATGTGCATGCTTCTACACTGGGCATCCAGACATAGAGAAAAGCGACCACAGGTGCTGATGGGGGCATAGAGATGTCTCTGATGACAGAAAGAAGTTATAAATTTAAAACCCTTCTTTCTCCTTACTTGTGGGATCCCAGATATTTGCTTTGTCATAAGATTATGGGAAAATGATACTTGGAATTTGTTTTAGAAATAGATTAAAAATTTTTTTTACTGTGTTTCTGTGCTGACTGTGCAGTTAATGGAGAGAATGATGTAGATCAATCCTAGTGCTGCTGTTGATTTTTAAGGTACCATCATTTGTTGGTATTTTTTTCTTTTTTTAATGGAATGTTGGATGAATTCACCAGCTTTTCAGCTCTGATCCCACAGATTTGAACTGAACAATATGGGACAATAGTGTACTTATGCCTGTAAATATGCCATCCTTTTGTAAATTTTCTTTGGTGTGTCAGGACACGATCCTGCCTGATACAGTGAGGAGCTCCTCTGTTCAGAACTTGTCCATAAATTGTTTGAAGTTCAGACTCAAGCCTGTGAGAGGCAAAATGGATTGAATGTGCAGGTAGAATTTCTGGTACTGTTTGTCCATGCTGCCTGTATGAAGATGGACTTTTAAAGATAGAGATAATGAAATAACCATTAATGAAGAGTTTAAAAAAAAAAAAAAAGAAAAAAGAAAAAGAAGAGTGTGTTGGTTTTGAATTCATTGTTTTCCATTTTGTCTTTCAGTCCAGATCCTCCTGAAAACATTGTTACTAATGGAGTTTTAGTGGTAATTTTTATTTCATAATCTTTTCCCCTGCCATATAAGAATGTTTATTGCAAAGCTAGTATTAAAGGTACCAGGCAGTTGCTCCATATGGTGGCATGAAGGCATTGACCAAGAGGCAGGCTAAAGCTGGTGTTGGCTCTGGCTTTCCCATGCGGTCCCAGCTAGTGACTCATGCTGGGAGAGGCTGAAGCTGCGAAAACTGTGAGCTGCTGCCAGCACTTGCCTTTGCCTAAACTGAGCTGGGCTCAGGTGTGTGACATCCCTTCATCTGCCCAGGGACAGCTTGGCTGAGCATTGTTTGGAGAGTCTTCTCCTGTGGCCAATCCTCTCCCAGGCCCTTGCAGGGCTGCTCCTCCAGGCAGAAGCAAGTATATCCTTTCTCTTTCCTCATCTCTACATGGTCTGTTATTTCCCATGTGGAAGCCTGATCCCATCTCCCTAGACCTGGTAGGGGGATTACAGTCTGGAATCACCTCTCCCTTGAGGTGCATGCCCTGAGACCTATGGTCCAAAGGATTGGAGGAGGCAGAACTCCACTGCTAGCAAATGCCTTTATCTCTTGCCCTGGTTGTCTCTTACAGTCCCGTGAAGTTTCCTGTTTGGAGGTGCAGGTGAACGGTGGGAGGATGAGGAAGGACACTATGGGTGAGCCTTTCACTGACTTAATGAGCAAATCTGGTTGCCACTTTATGGTGAAAGCACTCAGTGTTTTATGCTTGAACATCTTAGTTTAAAATTATTTAAGGTGCCAGACAAAATGCCACTGATGCCAGTGGCCTGTGGAGGGGGTTATAGTTGATCAAAAATATACAGATTATTGCAGAATGTGGTGTGATGAGCATGTGGTCTAATTTCCCCACAAAATATTTTCCTCTGCAATAACATCTTGCCAGATGCTTACAATTTTCCGAAGTGTTTGTGCAAGGAATTGAATTTTTTTGAATCCTAAACTCAAGCTAACTCTTTTGTTTCCGGATTCTGAGAAAAAGGAAATGGGCAGAAAGAGGATTAGACCTCTTTTACCATTTAACTTAATAAAATTTCTTTAGGTATAACAATATTAAACATGCCACTAGTGAAACACAAGACTCACAGTATATTAGCAGAGACATTTGTTGCACATTTCGAGCAGTGTATCACTACCATGTCAAGTCCAGACCTGTGGAATTGTGTACCTCCTACACAACTTTTCAAACATCTCATTCTGACATCTCCTGATGACCCCAATTCAGCACACTGCTTAAGCACGTGGATGATCCAGTTGAACTCAGCTGTCACAGCGAAAAAGTTTGATAGATGTGACTGAAGATGCTTGAGTGGGATAATTCTTTTGAAGGCTGATTATATACTTTTGAGTGTGTGGATTTACAGAGTATATTTCACCTTGAACTTAGGTTGATATTCTATATAAAGACCATTTTTAATTACTTGAACAGACATATCTGAGGCTTACTGCATGAAGGCAGAAAACCACCAGACACTATTTTTGTAAGTGCCAGAAATATTTAAAAAGAAATGTTACAGGTTAAAGGAAAGGGAAACATAACAGCGGGACTGAGATTTTACTGATTCCAGAGAGAGTTTTTCTCTGCTATAAAAGCCCATGTTTTTTCCATGAAGTCTAGAATTTTCAAAACATCTCAGCAATAAGACAGTATGCGATACTAAAATATTTTTCTGGTATAATACTGAGGTATTTTGAAAATTTCAGAAGAGAGTGTGATTTCCCCCCAAAACTGTTATCAGCTGTGAGTCCTTACCTAATGAATACAGCAGTAGTCTCAGCAATCACATATGTATGTAAGTACAGTAGTGCTAAAGCTATATGGCACGTTCTGCACACCAGCTCTAAAGCTGAAACCCTCAGATGAGTCAGTCTATTTATTTTTCCGATAATTTGGGTGTCAAAATGAAGTAGTTACTTAAGAAAAACATGTTACATTACTGTGCAAAGAAATTACCCCATTTTTTTGAAGAACTTAAGTTTGAAACACCTTTGCTTCAGAGAGAAAGTTTGCGTTAACTGTGGACGGGTCATACGAAGGAACCCAGACCCACACACTGAGCTCCTGTCTCTGCCCGACCTCCCCGGCCAGGTTCCACTACATCAAGTACAGTCAGTCGGCGCTCACTGTGGCTCTACCACGGCGGAGGCATCTCAGCAGGGTACGTAATTGCCACTAACACATAGCTGGCTCTTTGCTGTGTATTTCTTTGGGGACCACTAAGATCTGAATGCTTGTGCAGATCTGTGTCTGCAGGGAATTGATAAGTGCATGCATGCAAGTGAGACAGGGGAGACTGCTTTTACTTTTTTTTTTCTCCTTTTTTTGTATAATAGGTAACTGTCTTGTTTATTTTTTCTCTTATCCATTTTTCCAGTCTACATCAAGTCAAAATGAAAGGGATATGAACGAGTCTGTGACTCTACCTCTAAACTCGCTTCCTATACAAGAGAAAATAACAATAGCAGAGGTGAGAACAAATCTTTCCTAACACGAAGTAGCCCAACACCATCAGTTTGATGAATGATTAGTCTTACAGTTCAGTGATTCAGTTCCTGTGAGACATGAAGCATGCTACAGTGTAAAATGTGAAAGACAGTCACTCTGCAATTGTGCAATATTTATTTTTTCTTTTATTCTGCACGTGGTTCCAGTCATACCCTGTGTAATCCTGTTCTGAGTTTAAACTAACTTCCTCAGGACATGTCTAATATGTATGTTCATCAACATAGTATGTGAGCTAACAGTAATGGATATAACAAGTAAGATATACATTTGCAAAGGGAATGCTTGAAGCAGAAGATCAAACAGAGAACATCCATATGTGTGTGGTTCAGATGTCCAGCTTTCAAAGACTCTCCCAGAAAACGAAGGTTAAACTATGAGAAGCTGAGGAGCCCTAAGCCCACCTAGCTTCTGTGAATGGCCCATTTCTACTCAACCCAGGCAGTGCTGGAGCTTGTTAATGTCTCTAACAACCCAGACCATTGCTGGCCAGATTCTCCAGCTGTGTTTCATACTTCCAAGACAGGAAAACTCAGGCCCTGGATGGAATAGGGGAGGAAGGCACAGGTTACACTGCTTACACTGTCTGTATTGTGATTTTCAGGACAGGACAATTGACTTGTACACAAAGGCAAATGAATGGTAAGTGAGTCTCCAGCAAGACCTGATCCACTAACTAGGAGACATTTGCTCCTACACAAAGCTCATTTGAAATCAGCAGGGGTCTGTGCAAGTCCAGTTCTAAGCAGATATGTGAGTTCATTATTGGGTTGTAGGTTTTTATTTGCCAGGTTTTCCTTTTAACATTGATGGTGAATTAAATCATGAGTCTCTTTTCCTCCAAATTTCCAAACTGCTAGTGCATCTCAGTAATAGATCTTGATTTGTGTGCACTACTGTGCCCACAGATGGATAGAGCAGCTTTGCAAAGAAATGATTTTTCTGAATCATACAAATGACTTCAAGGCATGATAGCTGTTTCCCTATTCAACTGCAATGCCTGGTGACAGTGGTTGCCTAGTTATGGGCACGTATGGTAGCAACTATTGAAACTGAAAAAATAATTATATGAGCAAATAAAACCAGAAGTCTGTTGTTCTTTCTCATTTATCACATTATACTGTCCACAATCTGGTCTGTACACACACACAAGCACAGCTGGAGTTGTCCACAATAAGAATATTTTTGCCCTGGTCACAGGACTCAGGGTCTGTGTTTCAGGCCAAGAAACCTAGATGCCCGCTTGGGGTTTGACCTCTGCACTGATGAACAGAATTTCCTGCAAAACCGGAGGAAGGTGGTTGCTGCTGCACTAAAGGATGTTCTTCATTTGGAGGAAGATCTGCAAGAGCATGAGGTAATCAGGAAGGGTAATGCTGGCGGATTTTTCTCTCTCCTTTCTCTCAGACCTGGAGATGAGAAGTGATTTTTTACCTCCATCTGAATGAGTGAGGACCTTTGACAGGAGCTTCTCCTCTGGGGTGCTGTTTGCCATCAGAATGATCTCAACTGGACAGTTCAGCTGTCTGTTTGGATGACCAGAACTTCTGGTTCTAGTTGACTTTCAACTGAATCATTTGAAGGAGCTTCAAACCAATAGGTTTGGTCTGTGTTTCATAAAAATCCTTCCTGAAGTGCCAAGATCTAATATATTCTAAAGGGATGCCCTGCAGCTTTATAGAGCAATGTTGCTTTATCTCTAATGTATGTGTTTATTTTACTAGTGTTTGGATGTTACTTTTGCATTTCTGTAATCTTTTGACATTATTTGTTTCTTAATGCCACTTTTCCACCTATGTTTTCTTCTCTTTTTTTTTTTTTTTGTCTTGAACAGGTGCCTATAGTGGCTGTGACCACAGCAGGATGTGGAATAAGAGCACTCACTGGCATGTATGGCAGCATTTTGGGCCTTCAAAAGTTGCGTGTTCTGGATTGTATTTCATACATCAGTGGCTCATCTGGCACAACATGGTGAGGAGATGTTTTGATACTGTTGCTTGGAGTTTGTTGTGTTAAGAAAAACCCATGCTTTGTCTTGCTCTCAGGGTAAAGGTGGTGAATTGAGTTATTGCTTCCATCTTTGGGCTATTAATGCCAAAGTCATCTATGAGAGGACTGTTGTACATCATACATTTAGTGTCACTGAAGTAACCTATCCCTAACCAAAAGAGTAGACTTCATTGGAAGGGCAAACATCCTTAATCCTATGCAAAAATTATGCTTTATGGTTATTTACTGTTGGACAGAAACAGCATAGACAGCTCATGTAGATGCTTGTGTTGGACCCCGGATCAAATGATTTTTGACTAGTTGCCTTTAGACTTGCATTTCTGCTGAAAGTAAGCTCAAAGAGGAGAGTAACTAAAAGATAAAACAGTAAGTGCCCAAAGATCTGCAAAGTGTATTCTCTGAGCTTCAAAAGGATCTTGTTCATTTTCCCCTGCTTTCCATCATGTTTCCTGCCTGCAGGACAATGACAAAGCTATATGAAGATGCTGATTGGTCACGTAAGGATCTCGGAGAAATAATTATTGAAGCACGGAAGCAAGCAGCCAAGTGCAAGATGGGGGCTTTTTGCTTGAAAAGTCTAAGGAATTATTACAGAGAGCTGAGCCAAAGGACCCAAGCAGGACATAAAACCTCTTTTATTGATCTGTGGGGGCTCATGATTGAATCCATGTTGAATGATGGGGTAATGTCTATACATCTTTCTTCTCATAAAGTTGTTGACTTAATATTCATGACCATTACAAGAAATTAAAGCCCTAGGAAGAGAACCTGGTCAATAACACTGTAGTCAGTATGCAGGTAGAACACCACTTATTTACATTAATAACTTGGAGATAGATTATGTCTACACTGGAGCCTAAAGTGTCATAGAATGTAACATAGAAATACTCAGACTAGCTCTAAAGTAGCCAACTAATTAACACTGTATCTGTTCAAGAAAATTTTAAGTTTCTTAGGTGGTTTTTATGGCCCCATGTTTTTATCTCTCCACTGCTGCAATATTTACACTAACTGCATTCATAACTTGAATGTCCTGCAGACGTACCTCATATGTACAGAACTTTGGGATTTAGTGATAAGGAACTATATAGATCCAGAGCTCCTGAGACATCTTAACTGCCAAAACTATGATTTTGTAGGTGCCTTTCAACCACTTTGAATTTGATCTCTCTGGACCTCCAGTTTCTAATTTTGTTGTAATGACACAAGCAAAACCTTCCATGTAAACTAGAAGCCTGACAATAGCTGGAGAAAAAGCTATTTTATTTTTAAATCCTGTAAACATGGTTTATGTTTTGTCTAGAGGAAACAGATAAATAGAAATAATCTCATTTCATATCATATTTCACACTGTATTTCAAACCTCAGTGCTGCATACCAAAATTTTCTAGAATTTAATTTGGTTGAAGTATACTAAAAATCTCCATTTCATGTATAAGTTTTTAGTATTGGACAGCTCAAGGATTTTTCCTCTGTGGATGTTAACTATCAATATATCGTTTAAAAAAAAAGATTAGAAGGATCATTAACACTGTGCCTTGAAGAACCCTTATGATTAACAGATGAAGTACATGATAACAGCTGAATTACTCGGATCTACCCTATTTGTTGACTTACTGTTAAAAATGTAAAGCTAGAAGCATGTGAAGCAACTCGTTGCTGTCAGTGTATACAGAATGCAAAACATGGATGGTTATCTTAGCAGAAATTATTCTTGCTAGCATGATTTTCTTGTCCTCTGTTATTCAAGCACATGGAATTAAATTCAAGAGGAAATTTAGGAAAATCATATGTCAGATTTTATAAGCTGATGTCTTTAAAGAACTGATAATCAGCTAACTCTTCAGGTTTTTTTCCAAATCCAGAAAAGCCACCATAGACTTTCTGATCAACGTCAGGCAGTGAATCAAGGTCAGAACCCTCTGCCCATCTACCTTGCCCTGAATGTCAAGGACAAAGTTACCACCAAAGATTTTAGAGGTAATGTTTCAAATCTGAAAAAGAGCTATCTTTTCAACTAGGGGATACTGCAAATCATGATGAATTGTTTTAAATTCTCATTCAAAGCCACTAGAAGTACTGTTCCGAAATGTAAAGCGTAACTGGGTAGCCACAGGACAGTTTAGTATTTTGTAAACTCTCTTGGCATGTGATTGTGCATATTCAGATGTTAATTTCAGACTAATAACACAACATAATTCTGTGACACAGTCTCAGGACTGCTAAGAATTCTTCAAGAAAGGGATTCACTGGACCTTTATGTTTGCTTAATGTATGTTCTTGTCCATGGTAGGAGGGTTGGAATTAGGTGATCTTTAAGGTCCCTTCCAACCTAAGCATTCTATGATTCTATGTTTTTAATGCTTGGCTAAAGGCAATAAAAGCAATAGAAATCAATCTGTATTCTAGTCCACTCTTCATGAGAAACATTTGGACTCACTAAATAAAAAGAAAGAAGAATTAAAATTTTCCCTTAGTCCTGACATTGCTCTTTCACAAACTCATAGATAGTGAGATAGTTGGTTAAGTGGCTGTCAGCAGGGTTTATTCAGGACGTGTACAAGCCAGCTTACTCGCAAGAGCTGACACCTGAAAAGTTTATTCCAAGACTGGCAACTGCACTCTTTTCAGTAGTGGAGCTAACGTTGTTGGTGCATGTGTTGGCAGAGTGGGTGGAGTTCACACCATACGAGGTGGGCTTCCTGAAGTATGGCGCCTTCATTCGTGCAGAGGATTTTGGCAGTGAGTTCTTCATGGGGCGCCTGATGAAGAAGCTCCCTGAGTCCCGAATCTGTTTCATGCAAGGTGACTCACCAGCCTGGGGGATTGGCAAGATTTTAATACAAACACCAGTGATTTGGGAAATTAGTCCCCAGAAACCTGTTGTTATGCACGTGGAAGCACAGGTACCGGGTCAGTCAGCTGACAGACTCCTTAGGGAAGTGGTCACAGCACCAAGCCGGACAGGGTTCAAGATGAGTTTGACCAACGCTCTCAGGCACATGGTGTAATTTTTAGGGTTGTCCTGTGCAGGGCCAGGAGCTGGATTTCATGATCTTTGCGGATCCCTTCCAACTCAGGATATTCTATAATTCTATGTTTCCTGAGACTCATTCAGCTACTCGTGCTAGCAAAGGTGGTTTTATAATTTGGACTATGATAAAATGAAACTAAAATAACAAATAAGTTGTCATGTACCTTTGTGAGTGCTTTTGAGGCATCACTATTTCCCATAACTTGCAAAAAATTTTCAAAGTTGGAAATCTATGAGATTTTGTGGAAGCTAATGGAAAAGTTAAAAAGAAAAAAATGGAGCAAGAAAGAGGGTAATCAGAGAAGGAGCTAGCTGAAAATATTCCTTTATCAACAGAAAAAGGAAATGAAAGCAGAAAAGTGACGATATAAAATTAAAAAAAAAATGTTCCAGGTAAAACACAGTGGGAGGGAAAAGATTTTGAATTTATTTCTGAAATAAGTTTACCTTTGGAGTTTGATCTATCACTGAAATAGGTGTCTGGACTTGTGCAAAAATTGCATAGAAATATGAAAAAGTTACAGAAGAGCTGCAGAAGGAACAGAAGGCAGTTTTTAAAAGAACTTAATTGTATTTACCTCAACACTACTTATTATGCCTCTCCCACTCTCTAGGAATGTGGAGTAGTATCTTCTCCAAAAACCTCTTGGATGCCTGGCACGCAGCTGACAATTCAGAGGACTTCTGGCACAGGTGGACCCAAGACAAAGTGACTGAAATAGGTAAATAAAAGTACCCTCCTCTAGGCCCCTCTAACAGGCTAACGGCACTCACATTTCTCATTTTTTGAGTTTTTCTGTCATCCTATTGCTCTCAGTCTCTGGGTATGTGACACACCAGAAAAATCAAGTGATTTGATTTTACTGAATAGCCAGTGCTTTGCATAAATAGTGAGACTGTGATAAGAAGGAAAGGCACCATCAGACAGGCCTTGCTGCAAAGGAGATAGGGATGGATACATAACGTGGTCCCTAAAGTGTTGTGTTTAAAAGGCTTGAAAGAAATACTTCTGTCAAAACCTTCTGTCAAAGCCTATTTTTCAGCCAGAGAGAAGCTTGAGTGTTCCTGTTTCAACATCTATTTGCCCTACATGGCACATCCTCTCTCAAAATCTAACTAAACCAAAAGACTTAGTAGAGGTCAAATGAAGTAAATGTAGTGGAGCTCTGTTACACCAGCTGAGAGAGACAGCTCCATACTTAAAGACTTTCTTGACATGAGCATCTTCATGTTAAAATTCAAGGAAAGCCAGTGAACACACTTATGTCCCATTCCTGTGGACCATGTTTTCAGAAAAAAACCCTCCAAACTTAATGCTTGGATTTGTATAAATAATTTGCAATTTTCTGTTGAATTCAGGTGTCCACACCTGAACCAACTAGAACTATCACAATGCCAAGAGCTAGGAACACATGATTACTATTGGTACAGAAGACTTGTTCTCCTCTCTGTGTCTAGCCTCTTCTTATTTGTGGTTATAATTCAGCTGCGTGTCATTTATGCCATGTACCTCTAGAGGAACAACCAGACTTGCCCGAGAAGCCATATGAGATGGCCACGTGTGTTTTCACTCCTACGAGCGGCCTCTCCACAACTCTCCGGGATATCCTGACAGATCGCCCTGCTGTCTCCAAGTACCACAACTTCCTAAGAGGCCTCCAGATGCACAATGAGTATATCCAGCATGAACATTTCACCAAATGGAAAGGTGTGGTCAGCTCTCCTGCCTGCATATCTCAGCAGTCATTGTGGTAGGCGCAGGGGTTGGGAACTAGCGAGAGACTTTTGTATGTCCTGAAGAGAATTGAATGGGTTTTATGGTTAGCTGTTAGTGTTTACTGAGAGGAGGGAGAACTGGGTAACTCCTCACAACTTTCACTTTCAATATACAGCTGTTCAGTTTTTGGGTCATTTTGGTACTGGAAGTCCTTACTGGGATGAAAAATGCTAGGGTGGGGCTCTGCACATAGGCAGCATCTGCCTAGGGTTTGGTGCAGTTCATGGGTTTAGAAACACTAACAAAATGTGAATGGAGAGGGTGAAGGAGCTTTAGGATTGCTGCATGCTACCCTAAAGTAAAGGAAGATTCTGGATGGGAGGGAAGCTCACCTTCCTTTTGCTTTCTAACTTGATGGATATCTCTGCAGTTTGCTAATAGCTCTGAATCTTCTACTCCTTAGACACTCTGCTAGACACCTGTCCTAATGACCTGAGAGGCAACTCAGAACACTTGGAGCTGGTGGATGCAGCTTTCTTCTTTGAAACCAGTTACCCACCCCTTATGAGATCAGAGCGGAAAGTGGATGTCATCATACACTTAAATTACACAGGGGGTTCACAGACTTTGGTGAGAAGTCTCAAAACTGTTTTTGTTTAGTAACAGCTTTTCCTTTGCTTTTCACAACTTTTAGACAGGTGTCTATAAAATGTGGAACTTAGTGGAATTTAGTAACATGCTGTTTGCAAATCTCAAAAGAGGAATGGAAATTTATAGAGAAGAAAATATCTCTATTTTTCTCAAACTACTTTTGAAATAGCCCTAAGTGCTTCACAAGTGAAATACAGAGCAGCATAGTGAAGTTATGAAGGTCAAGCTGCAACTTATATTATAGTTATATGTAAGATCTAATAATGCAAATATAGCTGGAAAAACTTAGTGATTCGGATGCTGAATTTAATCTGTACTTTGCTTAAGCATTTAAAATTTTATTTGTCTTTTTATATTAACATGTGATTTACTAGCTGTCCAGGAACAACCCAGTAAGTGAAGAATTTCTTCATCTTTATCTTTTTCTTTTAACAAATACAGTTTTTCTTCTTGAATAGTGGACTTTAAACAAGATATCAAATACATTTACTATGTTTGCAGGAATCTGATTTGGTTAAAATGGCTACATAGATTTTGAAAGTGATATTCCAAACATAAACAGACAGATTTAGACTTCAAAATATAGACTTGTAATTGTAAACTGACCCTGAGGGACACCACTGAAAACACAAATTTCACTGGTTAAGGTTCTGTCATTTTTTTGAGTGGAAGAGACTTTATTGGTGCTCTTACACTGTGAAGCCACATAAAAAATACTAGTCTCTGTACTGCAGCTGAAAAAAAAATATATTGCACTATGTTTTTTTCTTGTACTCAGAATTCTTCAGGAAATATTTAATTCCAACTGAGGTGATAGTATTTTGTTAGATAATTTAACAAAGTTGGTCATCACAAATGAGCTTTCTGATGAATGTTTTTAGTGCTATATTTTGAGGTCTAAAATATGTTAGCTTGAAATCTCATTTCTGAAATTCAGGGTTATAGAAATGGGTAGGTTGGTCTCAAAACCCTACTAAAGTCTATTGAGGTCAATGGACAAGTTATACTGCTATATAAACAGATAATGTGACTGTGAAGCTTACTGTCTTGGACTGCAAATTTAGTTAAGACTATTTCCAAATGTCTCCTCAGGAAACAGAAAAGCAGTCCCTGGGGCTACAGGTGCTCACATTATTGCTGGTTGTCCAGTGCTCTCAGTCTGTTTTTTGTGCAATTTGGCACAAATTACCAGGCTTTGGCAGCAGTCTGATCTTGGGTATCTTCTCTGTTCCTTATACTGCTGATGTTGGGCCATAACCAGCCCCTGGAGCAGGCCTGCACATACTTCGCAGAGCAGGGAATTCCATTTCCCTGCATTGGATTGAAGGATGAAGAGAAGAACCTGAAAGAGTGTTACATGTTTGATGGTGCAGACACCCCAGGAGCTCCTCTGCTGCTTTATTTTCCATTAGTGAATGATACCTTTCAAAGATATGTAGCACCTGGTAAGTTAACAGTACACAGATAATTTTAATAATTCAGTGAGCTTTCTCACTCTCTGGGTGTTTTTTCCTCATCCCAATACAAAACTCCTTTGTTTGCTTGTTCCTACCAGCGATTATACTGCAAAATGTGATGATTCAAACTGTTTGCAAAATCTGGTCTTGATGTAATTCAGTCAAAGAAGGAACGTGTTCCTCAATTAGAGGAATGGAAACTACTTTTTCCTTGTAATTTCCAAATGTTTACTTTACTGTGTAGAGTAAAGCATATTTTTCAAATTATGTATTTTTATGACAGTCAGGTCTAGGGGAGAATCGCATATATATATATATGTGGAGTACCACTGTGCTTTCTATTTAGGCCATTTAATGTGTTGGTTGACTATGCTGGAAAATCAAAGCAATAGTACATAAAGTGATATGTACTGTGTCCTTCTGGGTGAGTATTTGAGACATTGCTTTTATGATGATTTCTAAGGCTATGAGTATTCTGCTTCCTCCTGTCCTGTGTATCCCTTTATTCCTTTTAGTTTGTATTGTACTCAAGAATGTGCAGCATAAGATGTGAGCACTAGTGACCACATAAAATGATGTGCCATGAACTGACCAGTAGAAGGTGCTGATTGCAATGGAATGATGTTTAGTGACACCATTGTTTGTGTTTTCCATTCCAATAGGCTTTGTTCAGAAGTAGATTTTTTAGAGAACACAGCACTGCACTTATCATCATAGTAATTGCACCTGTGATCTCTCCTCATTATTCTTTATGTATTCTATCAGAGTATGATATTTCTGTGGGACTGTACAAACACATTCCTTTTTTCCTTTGAAAGGCATGTCACGTAGTGCTGCTGAAATGGAACAGGGCAAGATTGATATCTCCAGTTTCTGCTCTCCATACTCAACCAGAGAGGTCTCACTGAAAGCAGAAGATTTCAACAAGCTCCTGAAGCTGACTAATTACAACATCATGAATAATGAGAATATGATTCTTCAGGCCTTGCGCATGGCTGTGGCACGGAAGAAACAAGCCCTTAGCCAGCCAGTATCACAAGCACAGCCCTCTGCTTGAACAGCATTTTCCTCTCCCTTCCTAGATATTTACCGTGATAGTACATGTGATAGCTACTTCACTGTGCTTGACAGGGGCCATCTCCTTCTAAGTAAACTTCTCAAAAATGAAAACTTTAAGTGTTTGTTTCCAAGCCATGTAGTTTAATTTACTAAGCAGTACTTGCTTTCTGATTCAGAGCTGTAGTATCAAACACAGCACTCTATGTTGTTAACCCCATCTCACTGTGATGTTCAAGAGGCAAAAATTCAGCTGTGTGTGATAGGGAAATAGCTTAGTATTCTCTGTCTGCAACCTCCTATTGTCTTGGTGGCTAGTTGCTAATATTTTTGCCCATGCAAAATATTCCGGCACTTCATTGACACTATTGGTAGCATGTCCATAAAGCCCTCCTCAGACACAGAAGGTGGTGACCATAAACTATCATTTGAAATAATTTTATTTGGTTTTAATAACTTGAATTAAATGGTCTTCTGCCTTTAAAGAATTTTGTTTTCCAGGTGCTTTTTGTCATGAACTGTTGTGAAATAAATATCTTATGAAGGATATTTGATTTTTTCCAATTTGTATTTAGATAATGAAGGTAAAGATCCATGGCTGTTTAGGTCTTTGGCGACATCTATTCTTACCAATTAAATCAAACTTACAGGTTTGTCTTGAAAGACCATTGCCATTTCCTCTCACAATCAACTGTGTTCTGTCCCAGATCACATGTGTGTTCTGCAGTTGTCTTCTTAAAATGCCATTTTGTTTTAGCATCATCTGGAGCTTGTTCAATATAGTGAATTGAACTATTACCAAAATGGATAGTATGTAAAAGGGATTACAGAGTTTATGTTAGTTACACAAGAGAACCATACTGGAGAAATGCAGTAAGATACCAATATTCTGTTCACTTCATCACAGTGCATCACACAAACACACTAAAGACCAAGAAAGTATGGCAGAGAGAGACGTTTAGCTTCTGTTTCTAGTGTGAATTATTCCTCGGAGGTAACTTGGAAAAGAGAGGTGTTCTTTTCTAGAGCTGGAGCTGATTAAGAAGTTATTTTTTGCTGACTTTTTGATAATAGTCCTACAGAACCATTGCAAAAGAAAGGCAGATGCTGGTGTTCGGGAGTTTGTCAAAGGTCAGCCAAGATGAGACTGACAGGAGTACCTCAACTCCTTGTTGATCCTGACCTAAAACAAGTAGGCAAGAGCTACAGAAGTTTCTTCTCTCCACCAATTTTCCAGCAAGGTACATAGACAATTTCAACCTTATCTTCTAAAGTTCCATTCACTGTTTTATCTGACCTGCCACTCATGAGCTCAAAATAAGGTACCTGAACTGCCAAAATGGGCATAGTGACTGACTCCTTAATGCCTGCCATGGAGGATATCATCATATTTATCAAAGTTCTCCTGTTATTGTTAAGATCTGGGTATTCCATCCGCTTTGCCAAGTCTTCAGGCTCCCTGAGGTACTCTGGTACAATTTCACTTTTCAACTGATTTTCCCCGTTGGGGATATTTTTGTCAGGATTAGATACTCTGCTTTACTTTGCCTGTGGACTTTTTGATTGTGAATGGTGAACATCTGCTCCTTCCTGGTTTTACCAGACTGGTCAGAAAACATGTATTGTTGAGACAATGAAAACAGTTCTCTGAGGATTCCTTGTACAGCCTGCTCCACCTTCTGTATGTCACTTTTCAGAGTTTGTGATGCACCCTAAAATCTCAGGTAATTTGAACTAAACCAGAAATAGTATCTTCTCAGCAGCTGATGTGGCGTTTCATATGTTCACACTAGATGTTTTGTCCCACGTCCTGTTCTGGGACTACTAGTAGATTCTCTTCAAGGAGAGGCACTTGACAGCCAGTGTCTGGGATGGGCTTCCTCCAGCTCCATGCTTCCTCCAGCCCGTACTGTGCAGGAAACTCCTGCAGAGCCTACCCCTTGGTTAGGAGAGGTGACAGAGATCTGGAGATTGGTCCTCCATTTTCTTTCCTTGACTTATCCCAGAAGTGGTTGTTTCTCAGTTGTTTTGGGGTGATACAGTCATTCCTTACCTCAGCTGAACACTCCTGTATTTGGTTTACATGGGCAGGTTTTGGTAGGCAGGCAGCCCCTGTAGCTTCTGTGAGGAACAGCCAGAAGCTTTCCCCATGTCTGACAGAGCCAATGCCATCTGGCTCCAAGGTTGGCTCACTGCTGGCCAAAGCTGAGCCCATCAGTGACAGTTGTAGTGCCTCTGGGATAAGGTATTTAAGAAGGGGAAAAAAATGCTGTGCAATAGCAATTGCAGTCAGAGAGAGGAGTGAGAAATGTGAGAAACAGCCCTGTAGATATGAAGGTTAGTGAAGAAGGGGGAGGAGGTACTCAAGGCTTTGGACCTGAGGTTCACCTGACACCTGTGCTGAACAGTTGTTAACTATTTAACCAGCTGTTAAATGACCATGGAGAGTCAGGCTGTCCCCCTCCGGCCCATGGAGGTCCATGGTGGAGCAGATGTTCACATGCAAGCCCTGGGGACCCCCATGCTGGAGGAGGTGGATACCTGAAGGAGGCTGTGACACTGTGGGAAGCCTGTGCTAGAGCAGGTCCTTGGAAGGACCTGTGGACCCATAGAGGGAGGAGCCTACACCAGAGCAAGTTTGCTGTCAGGAACCCATGCTGGAGCAGTCTGTTTCTGAAGGACTGCACCCCAGGGAAGGGACCCACATTGGAGCAGTTTGCGAAAAACTGCAGCCTGTGAGAAGGACTCAAGTTGGAGAAATTCATAGAGGACTATCTCCCATGGGAGAGATCCCATACTGGCGAAGGGGAACAGTGTGAGGAGTCCTTCCACAGAGGATGAAGGAGCTGCAGCTCTCATTTCCTGTCCCCCTGAACTGGTAGGGTAGAGGAGATAGAGAAAATCCGGAGTAAAATTAAACCTGTGAAGAAGATGTTTTATGATTTAAATTTTATTTCTCATTATCCTACTCTGACTGGATTGGTAATAAATCAAGCTAATTTCCCCATATTGAGTCTGTTTTGCCCATGATGGTGGTTGGTGAATGATCTCTTTCTCACCTTATCTCAACCCATGAGCCTTTCATCAAGTTTTCATTGTTTTCTCTCCATTGTCCGCCTGAAAAGGGAGTGTGATAGAGATGCTTTTGTGAGCACCACAACTTCTCAGTTGTGTTTATTAGAGTTCTTGGGTTTTGTTCTGGTTTGTTTTGGTTTTGGTTGTGGGGGTTTTTTGTTTGCTTTGTATGCTTTTTTTTGGTGGTGGTGCAATTGTTTGTGTGTGTTTGTTTTGTTGGTTTTATTTTTTTTGTTGGGGGGGAGGTTGTTTGGGTTTTTTTACCTATGGGAAAAACGTCATCTTCCAGAACCTCAGTGCTACTGCAGCCCTTCATCCCCGAGTTAGACTTTCCCAGGGGAATGGCTCAGGAAACATCAGTTCAGCTGCTGCAGAACAGACTAATAAAATAGATGCTTTTGCCCTCTCATCATCTTCGTGGACCTCCTATGGACTCGCTCCAACAGGTCCACACCTTTCCAGTGTTGGGGGCCCCAGAGGTGGATGCGCTCCAGGTGGGGTCTCACATGAGTAGAGTAGAGGAGGAGAATTACCTCTCCCAGTCTGCTGGCCAAGCTTGTTTTGAAGCTTTGACATTTCTTTAATTGAAAGGGTATTGAGGTTAGATTTCTAATCCTAAAATGGTTGACGACTAAAGCAATTTTCATTCAATGTAAAGTTGTCAGTTGTCTTTATTTTGTTTTTTCCTGATGTCTGTGTGTGTGGAAGGGAAAGACAGGTTGTGGGTACTGTGAGTGTACAGTATCACCTCCTGGAGTTCTGAAGTGATAGTTTCATTTCAGACATCTGGGCAAGTTAGTAGAAGGACTTGTATACAAGGGCTATTCATGTGCATATCTGCTGCTGCATAGTTCTCTGCCAGAAATATGAAGAGTTTGGTGTCATTTTTGTGTCCTAATTGGATGACACTGCATTGTACTTAAAATATCAAAATGTTAAGATTTAAGATGAATCAATATATGCCTTAATTTGCAGGAGAATTTTTGGGGTTTTGTCTTGGTTTCTCAGAAGTTTCATGCTTGTGGAAGGCTTCTGAAAGCAGGAAAATGTATATCCCACTGACAAATATACGTATTAGATTGGGGAAACATCTACCAGCAAACAACTCAAGCCTCTCTACCTCCAAGAAAAGGTAAATAAATAAAATTTTGTTGAACAAAAAGGTCTTATAGCATTATTTCATCCATGATATTTTTGTTTGCTGATTGGGGTGCTGTAGAACGGGTTTCCTCCAGCCTACATGTAGCTACTATTATCTTCTCTGGTTCATTCATTGCTTAGGCTGCCAAGTCATAGGTATCCATGCATAAGTTATGTGTCATCACTCCCTTATCTTGAACTGCTGATAACTCTTGGCACCTTGGTGTGTACAGCCTTCCCAAAACACACACCTCTCGTATTTAGCTATCAAATAAACTCAGCAAATTCCCTCCTCTTCTCTCTTCATACTTTCCCTTTCAGGCAATGAGGAAGGCGGAGCATGGAAAAACCACTTGCTCCTCAGCAGGTGCCTCCTTAAAGTTTGCAGAGGTACTTCATGAATCATTGCCACTTGTTGCCTCTAACAGTGAAGTGACATCTGTATCTGACTTATATGCAGCTGGGAGCAGGATGGGCTCATACTGGAGTGCTCCTGAGGTAAGAATACAAAAGCTCTTGACAGCTGAAGATGGCCTGAGGTGGGTTTTTGGCTGGGATTGTGGTGCCTAGAAGAGGATTTGTGAGCTTTTAGTCCAATTATTGGTGAGCTTTTAGTCTTATTTCATGTATGTATTTACTTATTTATATCAGGATGGCTGATACCTTTGCTGATATCGGCTGCTCTGTGGAGGCACTTTTGGTAGTGAAGTTCAGCCACAGTGGGTGATTCACATGGAGGCAGGGAAGCAGTCTGAGGTGCCCCACAGGAACCTACTGTAGATTTGGGCTGAATCTGTGGTTTGATTCAAGCATTAGGCAAGTTTGGATCTTTCACAGCCCAGCATCTGCCAGCTAAGAGTATAAACACACGCGATGTCCAGGTAACTGTGCTAGCAGCCAGTATGCGGGAAGATTACTGCCTAAAAACAGTGATTAATCATGGAAACAAAGATGATCCTAGTTTGGTATTTGTGCATGACAGATACATGAAAAAATCTTGATCTATCTTTGTCCATAATGTCTGAGAAGGGTTTTTTTTGGGGGGGGAAGGGAGGGGTTGGGGTTGTTTTTGTTTTTGTTTTTTTTTCGGGGGGGCGTGTTTTTGGGTTTTTTCGTGGAACAAAGCCAGGAGGGAAAGCCCTAAAATGGTCCATTGGGTTCCAGGGAGTGAACATACTCTGTTCCCTTCTCAGCTTTGAAATAAACCTTTGTCTATGAGAAAGTTATTTAACCATGCTGTGCCCCCTGGTTGTAAAATGAGAGTTTCTCTCCATAACATGGAGGTGTGTTGACATAAATGTGCATTGATGCTTGGAGACCTCAAATGTGGGATGCCCTTGACTTAAGAAATAACACATGTGAATGTCTAACCAAACTGGTTAAAGAAACACTAAGGATCTACAAGTTCATCCTTTTGAACAGAGCCTGCCTTTGCAGGGAAAGTATGCATAGAAAACAAGGAAGGAGACTATCCTCTCTGTTTTTTCCCTTGCCCTTAACAACTGAAACAGCATCATGAGAGAGAATAAAAGTAGAGGGTTCTTGGTGAGGGGAGGGTCAGGAGATTTATTTCATCCAGAACCTGAATCCAGATAGAAGACATTAAAACACGCCCTTCTGTTTTGGAGTTAGACCCAAAATACAGACCAAGGTCACCTTACCATAATTCAAGAATGATAGGAGAGTTTGTATCCAGCTTCTCAGCTGGATCAATTCCTAACCAGAAAAAGGAGTGACACAATGCCCCTTAAGGGATTTAGTGGAATCATTTTGCTAGCAGAGAATGGGAGAAGGATTAGGTAATACTTTCAGTGAGGTAACAACTAAAGTTTCAGGTACTAAAATCTACAAGAATTAATAATTTGTTTGGTTATTTGTCTGGTTATTTGTCCTTCCTTCTGTGCTTGATGTTTCAGCTAATGATACTTATTGCAAATATACACCACCTGGTTTGGATGGGGAAGTTTCGTTAGCATCTCTTCCAAAGCTGTTTTCTTTCATATAAGTTTTGCTGTGTTTGTGCTGGTGCTACCTCACTCACCTAACAGTGCCTTTTTCTTCTGAGGTCATGATGCTTATGAATACAGATAAGTCAGCAGCATCGTGATTATATGTTTTACCACAGATTGTTTCTGTGTAGTCTTTTGTATCCCTTGTTTTCCTCTTCCTGGTCACAATAGCTGAACTCCTCACAACCTTTAATGTATTTTCTCTTCACCATTTCTGGGAAATATTCCTGATAAAGATTTTAATGGAAACTTGGAATTTTTACTAAATAAAATTATCTGAAGAAAGTATATTTTCCATGTGAAATAACAATGTTTAAGAGAATTAAATTTATTTTATCTTTGTCTACAGATGTTTGATGGTTGTACTTTTCATGCACATTCACTCTCTGTTGGTTTATTTTTCCAGATTAATTGTTGATAAAGATTTCTTTTAAATTAATGTGTTCTGTCATGTAAACCAAGCATTTATTTAAAACCATTTCACTATGTTATCCATTTTACTGTTATTTCTTCTCTCTATGACATATATATATATACAGATGAATATTTCCTAAATTTTTTTAACTCTACATAGACATGGTTTTAACATCCAAAGCAGTGCAAACAACTTTGCTGCACGGCTTTGAAAATTGCAAAAGGCACTTATGGGAGAGCACGTTATATAAAGCATAAGCAATTTATTATTAATGCAGGTAATAACTTTGTCACTTTTCTGCAGAACGAAGAATGCCCATGCTGTTCATTATTTGTGAAAATTGTAAGAATGAAAAATCTGAGAAAAAAAGATCTGCGTGAGTATTACAGTCTTTCTTTGCAGTTCATAAGCAAGCACTGTAACTGGTATCTGTGTATGAAGTGACACCATGGTTTCAAATATTGATGCGTAATTAAATGTGGACTGTGCTTAGAATACAGTTTTGTATAGACAGTACCTATTGGTTTATAGAATGTTACTGTTAGTGGAAATAGCAAAGGTGTACTGTGAAGTACCTTAACTGCTAACAAGGTTCAGAGCAAGTTTTGATGAAAAAATTCAAGTGTTTATTTTCAGTTGCAGTTTTTGAATTTCCTTTTACTTTTTTTAAAAAAAAAAAAGATAAAAGGAGCATTATATAGCCTATTGTCAAACAATTTTTTTTTCTGTCAAAACTTTGCTGGAATGTATTTGAAGTAGACTTTTCAGGATAAATAAGTACCAAGGATATTTGCCTCCATGGAGATTGTTATTCAATTCTTCCTTTCCTGCCATTGAGCCTAGCACAGGGATATTGCCCTTTCTTGAAAACAGCACATCTTCAGAGAAAAGTGAAAGGACGGTTCAATTTCCTCTCTTTCTTTTAAGTCTCAGCTGAACTGTTTTCTGGCATAAATGATACCAACCCAAGGGAATGTCTAAGTTGCCCTAACAGCCAGTAGTATCAAGACAACCACCCGCAGAGCTGATAACCAAATATCTGCCTCTGGACTTAAAAAAAGGGAGGTTTATCTCTTTCTCAGCATTTTACAATGGTTGGAAATTATGCTTTTTACATTCTTGAGGACAAAAGATCTTCCGGAAATCCATACTGTTTATCTTAGCTCTTTATCTTTTATTAGTCTTTATCCTGTATCTTCATTTTGAGCAGATATTTGATTACCTGATTGCAGGTTTGAAGCTCTATCACTGGAGATTTGCTTCCAAAGTCAGAAGGAAAGTCTTTGCTTTTTAGAGCCAGAAGAAGCAGTGCTAGATGACAGGGTCTGAGAGGATCTGCTTCATCCATTCCCCATCTCAGTTGCCTTTCTTTATTGTGTAACAGAGCACCACATTTTATTTTCCTCTGAGAATCAGGAGAAAATTATCTGTGTCACAGCAGAGTCGGTGAGTTTTTATCTACATTGTACCTGTATGGTCCCTTGGAGCACTTAATTTTTTTAGTGGAGCCATGCGACATGGGTGATACAGATCAAAAGAAATGAGACTGCTAAAAAGCATTAAACTGAATGAGAAAACCAGCATCAGAGTGTACTAAAATTCTTATGTGGCAGTGCTTCCATTCTTGACAAAAAAATTGTACAGCGAGATTTCAACACCTGAATTATGAGAGAAGTCCTCAGAGGAAGAGATATAAAGGCACCTGTCAAAAAAAAAGTCATGGAAAAGAGAGGTCTTGACATGTACAGCAAAGCTCACTTTGTAGTCTGTACAAAACTCAGAGTGGTTTAGGCTGAAGTGCATTTATGGGTAGCATGACAAGTGGAGACTGAAAGGAAAGTGGGGAATCCTAAACTATGCATTTCATGTACATGAATAGTTACTCGGATGTAGCAACAATAATTAAAGAAGAAAGTAGAGATAACTAGTTAGGCCTACCTGTCTTTGTTTCTGTGGAGAAATAACAGTTTATCTGCAGATAAAATATCTGTTTATCTGCAGATTTTTAGTTTCCCAGGATTAGTCTTTGCTTGATAGTGACTTTTTAAAGATATTTCTGTGGGAATGCATTTGTCATGTAATTAATGCGTTTGTTAAAATATTAGCAAATTTTTAAAATATATTTGGCTCAAAATATTTTAGGAAAAGATTATATTTCCCACTCATATTTATTTGTTTTAATCACTATTTCTGTGCAATTTGAAATTGTTAAGAGAGACAGAAATGACAACAGAGAGTTCAAAGATGGCCCAGAAATAATTCCAATTGCAAAGAGCCATTGGTGCTTTGTTGGAGTCAGAGTCTGATTAGAGCAAGCTGTTTTTTGGAAGACTGACTGTCAAAGATGAGTATGTTTTGCTTTTCTTTAGCTGTAGCACTGGACAGGCAGTGTGTCTTCCTTGTGCAGAGGACTGCTGCTACCCACAGCCCACAGCGTCCATGTCTCCTTAGATCTTGCACATGTCATGTAACATAGAACTTGACTTTTTATTATAGGTTAGTTGTGGCAATCATCCATAATCATGATCTCGTAACCTTTTCTGTTTGTGTCAGACAGTTGTATTTGTACATGGTGTAAGAATAAGTACTAGGCTACTAGTTTAAGTCTGTTAGGAATAAGGTTTACTCACAAACCAAAGGATTTGCTCCCACGTTATATAGGTTATCAGGTAACTACAATCTGAGTAGTATATATAATTCCTAAGACATAGCTGTTGCAATTTCTAAGAATATCTGAGTTTGACTAAATTTTTCTTGTGAAAATTTGTAAGAATAGTGTTATCAGACCAGTCCAAAATTTCATCTGGATGAAAAATATGTCCCCAGAACTGGCTTATAATAAATGCTTTTGGGTAGGACAAATGCTGAACCATGCTTTTAGCTGGCCCACTCTCCCAAGAGATCTGTGGTTCATGAAGTCTGTGGCTTGGAGATCTGGCTCTTGAGTCAAAAGTAGTGTTTGCATTTAATTGTCATACCCCAAATTATTGGCTCCTAGAAGCCACTAAGAGATCTTACTTTGATACCTTTCATCTCAGTTTGCACTGAACAGGAACCCAGATACTCTTTTTCAG